CTTCGAAACGATCAGCCACGAGTCCATGATATGATACTGGACGTCAGAACGTCTAGAAAGGTCTGCAAGCCTTCCTGGGTCGAAATCCCATCCATCGTGCGATGCAATTTCAGCTGGTAAGAAGTATACCAGCTCCCGACAGCGTTTACCCGCAACACGAGGTAATAGATTTACAGCTTCCAGTAGTCGAACCACCTTGGGAGGGCGTTTTAGACACTTATACGACTGAGATCTTCAGCGGTGCTGTGGATCCAGAATACGAGACCCGCGAAGCGTTGAAGAATTACATACAAAGACTCTATTATCCCACATGTCGTCTCCATTGCTCACTATATGTCAGATATCTCACTTGAACCTTCTTGACGTAAAGAATCATGCGGGAGCCTCTAGTGCAGTGCTCTTGTAGCTTGCAATCGTAGCCGTACAGCAAGATTGCAGCGTTCGGTGCCAATATTAACCCTATCCTCTTTTCACACGGGGAGCAATCATTCTCTTCAAGTCGGGGAAAGCGAGCGAGGCGGATATAGACATTGCCATTTCCCTTCAATCTGAAAGTCCCTGGAAAGTCTCTGGGACCACGTGATCGCTTCTGCAGGCGGGGAGGTTCTCAATGCCATCGTCACAGGGCTAGACTCGTTGCGTGCCATGTCTCAGGTTCAGCTCCAGCTATGCAGCCACGTTGTGAACTACGATTACCCCACTCCGTCTCTTGAAGAATGATTCAGCTACGCATTCCAGACGGATCCATGGTATAACTAAGACCTTCGTGCCGATGGCCGTATCCGATTTGGAGCAAAACGAAAGCGGTTGAGAGGCAAGCATGACACCTAGCCAGCCTCGCTCTCAGCCATAGGCGGCGAGCCGTTGGCGCAGGCCGGGAAGGCGGAGGAGAAGCACGGCCCGACTTTGGGAAGCCGAGGGCGGCCCGTACGGGAACGTGTTGACGCTGCTGAAGTAGGAGGACACCTGGCCGGTACCGGATAGGCCGGGCAGAGGGCTGCTGGAGTCGACTTACCCGAGATGGTTGTCGACGATGTCCTCAGGGGAGTTGGTCGTTTGGTAGCAAGTATCTACGGGGGAGTAGTTGAGGTACCGTCTTGCTGTACGAATACGACGTAGTCGTTAGTTGTTGTTGGGCATCTCGTAGACCTCGGAAAGGGGCGAGTGCTGAAGCTCATCGTCATCGAGGCGAAGGCAACATGCACCAGCCTGCTAGCCTAAGCGGTGGTTACAGTCGCCTGGAAGGACAGGCGCATAGCTGGGACTGATCTACCTAGCTGGCAAGGTTGGTTGCGGGGTGAAGTGTGCCATCTCGTCTTCAGATGAAAGAACCGCGCCCGTGTAGAGGCAATCTTCTCACTTGGGCTCGACGGGTACCCCACGCCTGTGCTGGCGTCGTCCGGACCGTTCTCTGGAGACCCTCGGACTTCGTTTCTAGTTCATCGGGTTCTCCACAGATGTTTGACAGCGCACCATACGTACCCCGCGGGACCCGAGCCAGTCCTTTACAGAGCAAGTCGTCGCCACCGCCTCTGCGGCAACAACAACATGGAAACTGATGATGGATTCGCGAGGATGGGCTCGGATGTATTTGAAGCCGCGGATCTCTGAGCCCAGATGATGGCCAAGATGCCAATCATGCAGGGCAGCCGTCCGTGTTGTCGCTCGTCTACCCATCCTGCTTGACAGGCCTACCCCCCCGGACGAGAACTCTGAGCAAACAAGGCAAAGGAAATTCAAATGCAACATCCAACGAACTGCCGCTCTAGAACGCTTATTTGCGCGGGCTAGACTGGTCGAGCCGGATAAATGCGCCAGGACAACAGCCAGAACAGCTTCATTTCCATTCTTGACCAAAGGCATGGGCCTCGTGGAGCTGATCCGGGTGATGGACGGAGCACAGTGGGTGGAGATAGGGCAACAGCCGGTGATGCATGTGCGTTGTCGACCAACCTTGGAAGTGACTTTGTGCAATCGGGAGATGAGCTTGCTCCCTTCGCACGCACCAAGGCCACCCTGACGAGTCCGAATCGGGCAGTTTGCTTGGAAAGAAAAGGGCCGTACCAAGAAAGCGACAGGCAGGGCCAAGGATGCAAGGGTATGCGATGGGTGGGCGCAGTCACGGAGAAGAGAGCGGCGCGGAACATCCTCGAGCGCCCCCCGTTGGACCCGTTTCCGAGACAGGAGGTGCGGCTGGAATGATGGATGTTCATTCGGTCCCCGTTGTTCTTCGTTGGCCCCGGGGGAGTGGTTTGGCACAGAATACGCAGACATGGTGCTAATGTCTGGTTATGCGTGTGGGCTGGATCGTGGACCAGAGTGTCGGGAATTGGCTGGCTGTTGGACAGGATGACGGAGGAAGGGGCTCGGCTGAGATGTCTGGTTTCGGGATGCGTCGACGACAAAGCGCAGTTGTTTCCAACTCGCTCAACTGAGAGTCGGCAAGTGAGACAGCTTTGGACCATGCCACGCAGAGATGGCAACTCATGGCAAATTGGTTCGCTGGCGTCCGGGCTATCTGTAATTCTTTGGGTTGCCCGGCACGGCATGCAGAGGTGCCATGCGCATCCGTCATCTGCAGAGCAAATCAGCGGGCGATAAGGGCTCCTGATGATTTGAGATACTTCCTGGGAGCGTTCCAGTGTAATGTGCCATGTCTATGCCTTGCCATTCTCGCCATGGACGCCGGATTACTGATGGACTCGAGGTATCCCGTCATGGATGGGCCGAACCGAGGCTTGTAGGCGCGTAGGTTAGGCCCGGCTCTGCCTGCCGTCACCCCCGTTTTTGTATTCTCTCGACATCCTAACCGCACTCTAGTGTAGATTGTGTCTTGTCTGACCTCGCCTGAAGAAGTACAGCACGGCGATGCAGGCAAGTTGGCGAGCCTACACAATGTACGTAACGACGCCCGCCCAGGAGGCCAGCCCCTGCACCGCAACGCGTCTCCAAAGGCAGGGCGGCGGCGCGCAACGTTCTCGCGAAGTGGTAGACGCCGCCGAGGACCTTGTTTACACCTAGGTAAAGACGAACTCGTCTGTTCTTAGATTGTCTGACAAGGATCTGGGCCTCCAAAAAACACGACGACCAAGGTCTTTGGACGGCACCTGGGAGGGCACGGCACCGAAAGGATGATGGGAAAAGAAAGAAAATCAACATGGCGCACGCACGCACGCACGCACGCCCCCTTCAGAAATAGTCAACTCCCCTGCCAGCGACACAAGGACCACTGGGGGGGGGAGAGGCAAGAGAGGGTCTTCACGCTCAAATGGTGAGTGAAGTGGACAGCAATCGGGCCCAACATTTGACGGCCCATCATCCGGTGCGGTGCGGACACTCCCAGACTCCAGTGTCGCGCATTGCGCATCTCCCAATACCCACTGCGGCCGCAACGCAAGGAGGCATGGAGAGACGGGAAGGGAAACGGATGGGCCGGCGGCACCAGTAGCCAGCAGCCAGCAGCCATCAGGCATTGATTGCACCGCACTTCATTGCTGCTGCCGGCCATGTCCAGCATGAGCAGCAGACCCGGCGGCAATCTCGCTCCGGGCACGGTATCCTTCTGTACGCGCTGCACAAGAAGGGATAGTGCGCGGCGTGCCGTCTGCGCAGTTGCTTGCCGTTTGCCTCTGGATCATGACATGACGAGATGGGGGAGGGCGAGGTTCAAAGTCTCTGGGACTGGCTAATTAGTGTAATGGATGGACCCTTGCCGTTATCCGGCCTTACCTAAGAACTTAGTCGTGCTGGGGACACTGCGGGCCGGCTCCTAGCTCTCTCTCTCTCGCGCTCTCTCTCTCTCTCTCTCTCCCTCTCTCAAGCTTTGTTGTGCCGGCCGAGAGTAGAAGTCTATCCTTCTCTATCTTATGCCGTGACTTGGTACGGTATAGTGTCCATGTGCATGTACCTGTAGTGTATGGCACGCAGTGTCCTTGCGCGCCACCATCCACCCCCGATGTGTTATCCTTCCACACTGGTACACTCTGCGCAGCGTGTCTCTCCACCCGAGAACCACTCGGCTACCCACTCGCGGTACACACAGACCACTCACACGCCCACCTTTTTACCCCCCAGTTGCCAGTGTCGTCGTCCCTTTGGGCCCTCACGCATCTCATCCCCCCCCTCCCCTCCCCTCCCTCCACTTCCCAAGAAAAGAGACCCCCCCCCCCTGTCACTCACATTCAATTGCCCAGCGTGAGTGGCTTGCTTAGCTTTCGCGCGTCTCCAAGCTACCTTGCCTGCACAATACCTTATTACCTACGTCGCCGTAGCTTACCGTACAAAGCTCGAGCGTCTTGTCTCCGAAACCCAAAACACCATTGTGCTATTTGAACCCAGCCCGTCCCGTCCCTTACCTGATTGTTATACCTGCCGTTCCAGTTCGCCATTCAATCTGGTTGTCGCTCAGGAAAAGGTACCGCACGGTTTCTCCATCCACTCCCGCCGCTGCAGACAGACACTTTGCTGTTCACGCGGTTCTCTCCACGTCGTCTTTGCTAACCTTTGCCATCGTTGTAGCTGCGGCCCGCCACCACCTCTGCTCCACGACGGGACACATCACGACCGCAGCCACGGGAGACGTCTAGTCGCAACCAAGGTCGCCGAAAACCATGAACTACGACCAGCAACACCCAGCCTCAGGCGGCTACCACCACATGCCTCCTGGTCCCTACAGCCACCTTCCTCCTCCCCCGCCCCAGCAACACCACCAGGGCGCTCCTCAGCACCACCAGCATCCTTCGAGCCAGATGCCCCAGCTCCCTCCCATGGGATACCCAGCGCCCGCGCCGGTGCCTTCAAACACAAACATGCCGCCCAACGTCATGCCCCTTCAACATCACCAGTCAGGCGCGCCCGGCGCACCTTCGGGCGCACCAGGCCAGCAGACCGCCCAGAATGCCGTACCGGCCCCGATGTCAAAGACCGATGACATGGGTAGAAAATACGAGTACGTCACGCCCGCGATACTTGATACTTGGTGATGGAGCGACCCGACTGACATGGTGGTTGCCAGGCTCGTCGTAATGCAGCAGCCCCAGCGAGCGCGCATGTGCGGCTTCGGCGACAAGGTGAGCCTGCTCTCGACGAACGATACATGGCGGGACGCAGCGGCTGACAAACTACCGAATAGGACCGACGTCCCATCACCCCTCCGCCGTGCATCAAGGTCGTCGTAAGGGATGCCAAGACCGGCCAGGAGATCAACCCTAAGTACGTGCGACCACACGGTTTGCGACAAGCTTTGTCGGGTCTCGGCGCTGACTTTTCTTACCAGCGATATTGATTCGGCGTTCTACGTGATCCAGGTCGACTTGTGGTCAGAGGACGGCACTTCGGAGGTGAACCTGGTGAGGCACTCGTCCAACACGGCCTCAATATCGACCACGCAGCCATTCTCGTACTCGGCGTTGCGGGATGAGGGTCAGGCGCCCGCACAGCCGATGCAGGCTTATTCCCAGATGATACCGAGCTACGGCTCTGCGCCCATGGGCTACGGCCAGCAACAGCCTCCCCCGCCGCAGCACATGATGCCGGGCTACGGCATGGCTTCCGGGTCCAGCTACCAAGGTGAGTTGTCCGACGGAAGAAGGCGCGCGCAGCACCCCAAAGTACTGACCATCTGCGCAGCGGCGTACCAGTCATCCAACCCCCAGTTCGCGCCCCCGACCCAATACTTCCCTCAGCACGCCAACCCGGCGCCCGTGCCCTCGCAGGCCGACATGGCGTACGGCGGCCACCGTCAGTCGCTGTCCATGGCGGCCAGCCAGCCGCAGGGCATGTTCACCAGGAACCTCATTGGAAGCACGGCGTCGAGTGCGTTCAAGCTCAACGACGTGGAAGACCATGTCGGAATCTGGTTCATCATGCAGGACCTGAGCGTGAGGACTGAGGGTCACTTCAGGTGAGCGCCCCGACGCGAGCCCTCTCGGGGTCAGCCAACGTTTTGCTAATCGTGTTTGTCCAGGCTGCGCTTCTCGTTCGTTAACGTCGCCAGGCCCCCAACCAGCCCTCGGCAGACGGGTCGCTGGTGAACCAGGGCAGCGCGCCGATCCTCGCCTCGACCTTCAGCGACGTCTTCCAGGTCTTCTCGGCCAAGAAGTTCCCCGGCGTCTGCGAGAGCACGCCGCTGAGCAAGTGCTTCGCGACGCAGGGCATCAAGATCCCTATCAGGAAGGAGGGCGCGGGCGACGGCAAGAAGGGCGGCGAAGACGATGATGACTTCCAGTGAGCGACGGTCCCAACGTTATTTTCGGTTCCACGACGGGCGCTCGGAGTTCAGGCACAACCAAAACACACACTCACACACAAACATGGGCATATGGATACAGCAGGCAGAACAGGGTTACGCGGCGACTTCATCTCGGTTACTTTTTCTCTCCACGCCGGCCCCCCTTCCCGGCTTGTAGTGTTAATGCCGCGTTCAGCATAGTGCTCTTTTTTTTTTTTTTTTTTTTTTTTTTTTTGCGTGCTTGTGTGGCGTATAGAGTAAAAAAGAAATCGCAAGACTTGATAGTACCACGCGCGATGAATTGTCGGTGCTGTGGTAGTTTTGTGGACGTGGAAGCGAAAGAGCCGTTGGTGGGCGAGCCGCCATGCCTCTCCGGACTTTCGCCCCCTCGACTCGGCCGGGAAGGAAGGGCAGGTGAGAGAGACAGAGGGAGAGGGAGAGAGAGAAAGACTTGATCCGCCGAAAGGGCTCCACTGCGTTGCATTTACGGCGCTCGCATCGATGGTCTAATAGGTCCCCTTCTTTAGCTTCCGCGCTGTCGCTCCTGGTGGGGACGGGGACGGGGACGGGGAGGGATGGGTTGGTGTGCCGGCCGCTGCCACCAACAAGGAATCCTTCCGGGATGCCTCGCTTTCCCCCCCCGTCTCTGATTCGCTCGTCTTCCGCCTCGGGGAATAGGGGGAGAGAGGCCTTGAGGAGTGCGAAAAGCGCGAAACTCGGAGGAAAGGGAAATGGAGATACGCGTAGACTAGTCATATAATCTAGGTTTGCAAACTGACGTTGCTCATCGTTTGTTTATCCTATACCTTTTCGCCAACCCTTTGTCGACTGGTAGCCCTGACTATGCGAGCCCGAAAAGTCTTCACCTCGATGAGGAGGCTGCGTCCAGCCTTGGAACTGGACGCATCCGCCATCTCATCGAGGTGGTCTTCACGGCTGCCGGAGACGCTCTCTTGGTGCCATTATACCGATTGGCGGGTGCACACTGTGGCTGCCGCCATTTCATCATATGGGCGGCCGCATATTTCGCGATGCCTCCCATCAGACAGCCACAAATTGTTGCTCAACCGCAAGCTATGGAGACACACACACACACACACACACACACACACCGCACACATCACACAACAAAGAACAAGCTTTGGCAATTCCGACACATGTCCCATTGGATATTGAAAAGCTACAAAAAAAGTGAAGCCTGCAGTTCTAACTGCGAGGCAACTCCAACGCCTAACACGCCCCCTTTCCATTCCCTTCACGGGCTCAACTAACAACGCTTTAACGCTCTCCCAAAGTTTTCATTGCTGAACCTCTTTCCTTCTTCATGAGAAGCTGCCGGTGATGTGTTACATCGGCTGACATGGTCGCATTCCATCCGTCAAGACCTCATTATGTCGCCTTTGTCAAACGCCATCTCTCGTTTCCATCTCGAGAACAAACGAAGAGACAAAAGGAAGAAAAACCGAGAACAAAATCGAGGTGGGAAGGTAAGTGTACACGCCGGGGTGGTGTGTCCACGACTGGAACCCCCCTTGAACCTCGCCCTAGCTTGCCTGCAATGAGAAATAAAGTCGCTGGCCGAGCCTTCTTTTCTTTCATCAATAATACATGCCATGGGGATGAACACATCCCGGCTCAGTTAACCTTCGAGCACACAAGCCTTTGTCAGCGCACATGTGCCTGACTGCACACAGACCTTGGCTTGCCCATAGCTTAAAAGAAATCAATCGTCTCAAGTGCTTTTGAAAACGCCGGCTGTGTGGTCGCGTGGGCAAAGACTCTATGAATCAGCCAGTTTCGCAAAGTGCTTGGACCAAATCCAACCAACTTGGTCGTCGGGGTCGTCTTGGTTCTTGGCAAGCCATAGCTCGCCCTTTTCAGCAATGACATCAAAGATCTGGGAAAACGTTACGTTAGCCTTGGACTCGTCGAGATACAGGACAAAGACAGATTGCCAACTACTCACCTCACCAGCCTGGTACGTGAGGTACGGGTACCCTGCCTCATGCTTTGTTGTTTCAATGTTGAACTCAAAGAGTGATGCTGCCAGCCAAAGCACGTTGTATCCGTTCCCAGCTGGTGTGCGCTCACGCGATGATGCTCGTGAGGATCTCTGACTTTCTTCCATGCCATCTGGCATAGGAAGAGCAGAGTGGAACAGGCCCGAGAACCTTCTCGGTTCGCTGCCAGAGTGCTGGGACGGGTAGGCCGGGTTCGAGTCTCTCCTGTTATTTGCTGTTGATTCTGAACTCTGTCTTGGCAGACCGTTTGTGTTGTGACTTTGGCCTGTGCCGGGCCGAGTAGATGGCGGAGGGACGTTTGCACGTGGTACAGGCGACTGATCTCCCGTAACTGGTGACGCCGTCACCGATGGTCGCTGTGCAGTTGCACCAGCATAGTAGTCTCGGTAGTAAAACTGATGGGGACTGAGAGGAGCTGTGCTGGGTGAGAGAGTAAACTGGCCACTGTGGCGCTTGGCAAACTCTGGTGTCGGTAGCATGGGAGCGTGGTCGCCATTGACCGACAAGCCCCTACCCCGGGGAGAGGAGAGCTCGGCAGGCCGGGGGCGGTGCTTGGATGTAACATCCTCTGTGCTGGCTGTGGTCGACTGTGATGTTCTGCCCTTGTATGCCGGGTTCAAGATTCCGATATTGGCGAACAGTTCCTGCGCGTACTTGTAATCCCGCTGGAACGTAGACACAATGTCTGGGACGTCAGGCGGTGGCCCCATCTCCCCCGTCACCTTCTTCACCTTCTCCACCCAAATGGAGTACCAGTTTGCTTGGATGTTGACGAAATTGCCAAGACAAATGTTACCGATTCTCTCCGTCAAGGCAGACAGCTGTGGAAGCTCCTTCTTTAGAGTCTCATTGAGAGCTTCATACTGTTCCACCAGCTCCTTGAGTCTAGGGTCCGGTGTCTTTCCGCCCTTCTTGATCTGCTCTGCTCTTTCATAGTCGAGACGCCGCTTTGCTCGCTTCTTCATCGCCAGCGACGGGTTGCCGTAAGCCTTGATGACATGCTCAAAGGGCTCGATCACATGCTTCCGAACCTGTTGGAGCTGCTTGGGTGTTAGTAGATGGAACAAAGCTTCTGCCACAGGCTACTCACATGGTCTTCCAGGGCAATCTTCTCGATGTCCCTCATCGAGACATTAAATTGCACCCATTTGCTTTCCAGTTCTGGATAACTGCCCGGTTGAAGTCGCATGACAAGCTCCATAGCGGACAAGTACTGAAGGAACTCGTGGACATAGGCGCTGACCTGCCGAGTGTAGAACTCGACGTCTCTGAGCACAACTTGAAGTCGTAGGTAGTCATCGCCAAACTTCTCGTGAAGCTTGGCATACACGGCATCTTCAGGGATTTTCGAGCTTGCAGCCTGAAGCTTGTCAACCCGCTTGCCAAAAGCACGAGCGAATCCAGCCTTCACATCAGACTCCTTCCTCTTCCGGCCAACAATTTGACCAACGAGCTCAAAGTTCTTCTTCGTCTTGTTGATCTCGATAATAGCCAGTTCCAGGGTTTCCTTGGCTGAAATCAGCTCAGCTCGGTCCGGATGGTCTTCCGGGGTATGTTTCAGGAGCTCTTGAATGAGGTTAGGGTATTTCGTAATTCGCTGCATGGGCTTGATGAGTAGAGAATCCAGATCCCAGGCTGCCGTAAGGTCCTTGGCTACCTCATTGCACTCGTTCAGCCAGACCTTCACGGTAGGGTCTTGCTGGATCTGGATCAATCGCTTGGCTGCGTGGTCGCTGTTTCTGAGGAAGCCCTCGTGAGCCACTCTCATCTGCTCAATGTTCCTCTTGAAGAGCGGGCCGATCGACGTGGCTCTGTCTTTGTCGTCACCCAATTCAGGGGCTGCTGGGTTGGCCGAGGAGTTTCCAGTCTGATCAGAAGCAATCGATTCCTCCTTTGGCAGAGGCGATCGGCGTCCATGGGGCACGTATACCGTACAAACAGCTTCCTTAAGCTGGGCACAGAACGTTGTGTGAAAGCTGATGATCTCGTCCGTGTTTCTGAAGACAAGCTTAATAGTTTTGTCGTCCAGTCGCGGGCAGGCCTCGGCGGTTCCCTTGTAGATCTCTTCCACGATGTTCATATCCCTGACAAACACCATCTCAGTGTCGACGAGTTCCCTGATCACATTGCGTCGTTGCACCAGGCGATGCCTCTCTTTTCCGGTCGGTCCGTCTTGCTCTCTGCCAGGCGTTGCGATCGAATCAACTGGGGTCTGGCCGCCGAGAGAATATTCCCTGGTCTCAATCGACATGTGATCGATAGATTGAGTAGTGGAGACAGGACGTGACACATCCTCACTCTCGCGCCGAGAAGACCCCATTATGGTACTTCCGGGAAGGGTATCGGCGTAGTAGCTGCTAACTGCCGTTCGCCGGCCCTCGTACAGCGACCTCGACTTGGGAGCAGGTACCGGCGGAGGCTCGTGTTCCGGACGTGGTACTGGGCCTGACTTCACAGTCGGCTGCTTGCTCTCGAGGTAAGGGATCGAGAAGCCTTCTCCAGTGTCCAACTCTGGCAGTTGATGGATAGTTGCGCGACCGGGCGGCTCAGTGGCTCCTGAATCCAATGGGCTGAAGTCTGGGCTGTAGTGTTCACTTTGTCGCGCGGACGAGTCTCTGCTAGAGCCGGATCCGTACGTGAGGTCGGACGCGTACGGCGGCTTCGGTATAGACAGGCCATCATCGAAAGTTGAGTTTCCGTGGTCGAGGGCCTCGTTGCTGTCGACAGAGAAGTCGGTCCACGCAGACTGCTGACTGGATCGGTTCACTGTTGCATGCATGGATGGAACCATCAAGCTGTGAGAGGTATCCGGGGTTTGCTGGCTCTCAAGACTCGTCTTGTGAGGGTCCTCTTGCGCATCAGAAGACTCGCAGGTAGACGCTCGCTGAGACGAATCGTTGTCCTTGTGGCGGTCGTTATAAAAGTCTTCGGGCTTTTCAAGGGTGTCGCTAGACGCTGCTCCCATTTCCTTCTCAGTATTGTGATGGAAGTAAGAAACGTCGCAGACGGACCCATCCATGTCACCGAGTTGACTCTGGTCATCAAAGTCATCATAGGACTCCATTCTTGGGAAAGGAATGGTTTCCTGTCGCGGCGAATCATACTCGGAATCCCGTCGAATAATCTTGACTGTCGTTTCGTACGAAGGGCTTGAGAAAGGGACGGGTTCGTACTCCTCAGATATCGGCCGAGAGCTAGTGAACGCACCAGGAATGGATGGATCTTCGAACTCGCTCCTGGTCGGGGTCGGCTCGGGCGATTGCTGGAGAGACGTTGGATCCAACGAGATCTTGATGGACACGAGGTCATCACTAGCAGACTCGTCCTCGAATGGGTAGTGGTACTCGGCCTTTTCTGGTGTCGGCGCCCGTTGCACCTCCTCAGCTCCGGCCTTCTGTGGCGTAGGCTGCTCATCCGGTATCTCCGTGTCCGTCTTCTCCGGCGTTGGCGGCGGTTGCACCTCCTGAGTTTCGGTCTTCTCGGGTGTCGGCGTCCGTCGCAATTCTTCCATCTCAGCCTGCTCATGGTTTCCGTCAGGTTGCGGGATCGTCAGCCCAAGGCCAGTCGGAGCTTGCGAGGGTTCAAGCTGCACAGGTGGGAGTTCCTGTGGTTCGTTATCGAACTCCGTCGTTTCCGATGTAGCCGAGATCGCGGATTGCGGGATTTGTTCCCTCTCGATGGGGGGACTCAATGCCGGGAAGCTGCCGGGCATGCCCAAGGTGGGAGAGTCGTAGGCTTGCGCTTGAGGCGGAGAGAGGGAAACGATGGGCGGCACCACCGTTGATATTGTTAGTGGCTGAGGCGATTGCGCGGGTGACGTTGGCTGCGCCGACGGTTCCGGTTCGCTGGGACTCGCCTCGGGCGGTCTCTCGAAGGTTTCACTGTGGTCCACTGAAGGCGACGCGGAACCGATTTGTGGCACCGGGGGGATGTCTTCTTTTTCTCTGGCGGCAGTGGCTTCTTGGTCTTTCTTGCGCCTCGCAGCGGCCTGTCTCGCATCCCGCACCTGACTGTCGCGAATAGACTTAGTATACGCGAGTCTGATGTGTTCACGTCTTTGTTCGAAGTCGATGGGTCCAACGGAGATCTTTCGTCTTCGAGTCGCCGACTCCTCTGTCTTGGAAGATTGTCTCGACACATTCTTGTGCGGCGACTTGGCCCTGTCGATAGCCTTCATGCGCGAACTTGCCGTGGTTGCCGTTGATACGGATTGTCGAGGTCGAGAGCTGCGCAAGGGAGGGGACAGCTTCGGAGGGGGTGCTGCTACGTAGGCAGTAAGCCGGGTGCTGTTATTTGGAGTGATGAGACCTCGAGGTGCAGGCTTGCGTCCTGGCGTGGCTTGCGTGGGCGTCTTCGCTCGCGTAGGCGTCTTGGCGCGGGTGACGGGAGTAGTTGTCCGGCTTGTCTTGCCCGCTGGCAGAGGACGCTTGAACGTCGACGGAGAATTGGCTCTGGAGCTTTCGCGGGTGGAAGGCGGACTCGTCGAGTCACTAGGCGTGGCGAGCTTTCGGACAGAAACAGGGAGGCGCGATGCGTCAGCTCGATCGGGTTGCTCGAGCTCTGCCATGGGCCGTGGCACAAGAGCCTTTCTCGCCATCGGCGCCCCTGCTTTCGAGGCAGCCACATCACTATGTGCCCGAACATGACCTCTAGCGGCGGGGACCGAACGTCCTGTTGCACCATTCGGTTTTGTCTTAGCAGAGCGGTACCAGTCAGTTGGAGACTCCGGCTCAGCGAAATCAGGGTCAGATTTCGTCCGTTGATGGAGCCTAGCCACGTGAAGACTTGACTCTGATGTCCTCCGCGGTCGTGAGCCTGACCCCTCGATCCCGAACCCGACGATCGAAGTGTCTCGCTGCTCTGGAAGGATTTCGCCAAAAAGCAAGCCGGATGGTGGGGGGGACGAGGGCGGCAGAGAAGGGGACTTGTGCTGGAGGTTTGTCATGGACTTGGATGCATGCGCATTGCTCGTGATCGAACTCGAATTTCGCGGCTTTGCGATGCGGCTAGCGAAGGATTGTGAATTGTTGGATAGTTGATCTTCGGCAACGAATTTCGTTCGTTGTGTTCGAGAAGCTGGGCCTCTACTGGAATCAGGTGTCAGTTCACGATTCACCGAGGTTCTCAGTGTAGAGTATGATGTTGACCCGCTCCCACTAGGTGTTGTTCTGTCGGCATTTGTCGCAGCCCTATTCGACCGTATCGGCACGCCTCGTACTGGAATCCGGGGCATCGCGGGCGCCGAGGTCTGTTGATCGAATCTCTTGGTCAGGTCCTTGACACTCGGCTTGCGATTTGTATTGGTCCTCGGGGCGCCGACAGGGGGTTCGATGGGGGCAGAGGCAGATCGCTGCGAGGGACGCAGGGCCGTACGGCCTGCTGGTGCCGGCGGGTGCTTTGGGTCCTTGCCATTGCCGTTTGGCCGCGTGGACGGATTGTCGCGGGCTCGGGATACGGAGGTCGCCATGTAGTCGGTATCTGAAGAAGCGGTTCGATGGTGGTGACTCGACGACTGCACGCCTCGATAGCTTCGGTAGAAATCATCCGGGTTCACAGAATCGTAAGCATGACCAGCGGCGGCGAAAGCCCCAGCCGTGTGGGCGGCAGAGGCATCCAAGTTCTCGCGGGTGAGGGCGTTCGCTACGGGGCTGCTAGGGAGGTAGTGGCGATGAGATTGGCGGGACGATGAGTCGGATTGGTGACGGTAGGGACCGGGATCGGAGTCGAGGTCGAAGTCGGCTTCGTGATAGTCGTAATTCGAGTCGAAGTTTGGTTGTCGATGAAGTTGGTGTGCGTACTGGGGAGGAGAAGCTAGAGGTTGCGGTTGGTGTTGCTGGAGATGGACCTGGCGTTGCACGCTGAGCGCAGAGGCCAGGCGGTCCTCCTCTTCTGGACTGCCAGATTCCATTGTGGCCTGAACATCAGTCAGGCGTGTCGGGTGGACTGGCTCGTCAGGAATTCCATAGACCCATGCACGCTGTGTGGGATGTTTGGGTTGGGAAGCATTGATGTGTTGGCCTGCAAGCTGAGTGGGCAGCGACACTTTGGAGAGGCGACGGGCAGTCCCCGGTTGGCAAGCGTTGGCAGTGTCTGGGGCCTATCGACAGCAAATCTTAATGCATGGATGGGTGGCCGCCGCAGGAATACCTAGCCGTAGTGCGACTTCTGCTCGGTGGGGGGTTTTCTGGGGGTTGGATATCTTTGCTGGAGTCGAGACGAAGGAGACCTGCAGGCCTTCGTTATTTTGCCAGCTGCGCGTGGGTAAATTGTGTTTTCGGGGTCTTGTCTTTGTGAATCGGACGCAACGAGATGGGACGGAGAGGGCGAGGTTGGAGTGGTGGGAAGCCACAAAAAAACGTACTTGAGGCAAGGCAAGGTTAGGGGAGATGCAGGCGCAGGCTCGCACGCACACACAGCAGGCAGAGATACCTCAGCACGCAAAGCAAGTGCGAAGCGGGAGAGGAGAATACCTCAGTGAGACAGACGTGCGCGAGTGAGGAGGCAGACGGAGAGAGAAGGAGGGGGGAAGGACGGGAGTGGAGGTGTGCACTGTCTTAGTGGGGTGTGGGTGTAGCGAGTAGAGAGGAGAAGGTGGCCTTGGATTGGTCGAGGAGCTCCTACCTCGAGAAGGGTACCTACTGGGGAAGGAGGGTGGGGAGAATTGGCGCGGTGGTCTTCTCAGCAGGGGGGAAAGAGAGCAAGGTTGGAGGGAAGGTACGGATTTTTTCGTACTTGCTTCCTCCAGAGCAGTCTGCCGTGGAAAAATTGAGCCTGGAAAGCTGGAAAGTGGCCGCCGGAAATTGATCGGCCACCTGAGGGCAGGTGCGGCCGGATAGGCCGTCAGGTCGTGGTTGATGGTGAGCTGAGACGGCAAGCGGGACCGCGGTTGCGAAGGTGAGGAACTCGTCCAATCAATCGGTCAAGGTGGGCACGATTCGGTCTGGGTGACAGCCGGGCAAAGATGGGAGGAGAGCAGTGTGATGTCGTGTGCAAGGTACGGATCCGGAGCACCCAATGGTACCTAGGCAGCTTGGCAGAAACCCGTACGGCGCAGGGACTGCGGCAGCAAGGAGACGGGGGAAGACGATGGTAATTCAGGGAGGGACAGAGTGTGTGGTGAGGGAGGGGATGACGGCAGGTGCTAGGTTCAGTTTGGTAGGTCTGTCCGGACGCTCGGGAAAGAGGGAGCAAACCTGGGGCCAGGGACTGGGAAGCCAAGGGGGGCTTGACTTTGGATTTCTACGTACCTTAGAGTACATGGTGTTTTCCACACACATCCGGCGTGTCCAGCATTGCAAAGTTGCAACCAAGGTTTTTTTCCGAAGCGGCGAATTCAGGCACGACAAACAAAGGGCGTTGGAGATCGACTTCAACGGCCGGCCGTCGACGTTTAGGTACCCGATCAAGGTGCTCGGTATCTGTACCGGGCAAAGAAAGGCTATCCTCACTTGTGCTTGTGCTACCTCGGTCTGTCTCTCTCTGGCTGTTTCTAGTGCATCTAACCCACTCACGTCGACGAGTCGCAACGGCAGCAGAACCCACGGAAATGGGCTTTGGCTGGGTCTGAATCGTCACCCAAGTCGTCAATTTATCACTCGTCTACCCTTCCATGTTGGCCTCCACTGGGCTGTTTGAACCTTGGAAAGAAAGAAAAACCATGGCATGGACAAGGTCGCCTTCTTCGAGGGGCCCAGATAAAACAAACAAACAAGCTCCACCGCAAGCCTCGATGCAGTTTGTATCTCGATCTCCAATCGCTGTGGCTGGCAGGGCACTTCTTTCTATCCTTCTTTCCTTCCATTTTTTCTTTTCCCCAATTTTATTCCGTGTGAATCAGGACGTATCTGCTTGCGGGGGAGAATTCCTGGATGACACCCTTCTCTCATCCAAAGAAGAAAACATGTCGATGCTCCGCAGGGGAAAAAATGAGCAAAAATTATTCAGACTATGGTGCGCGCCGCTGGCCCTCGCTTCGTCCCGTCTGAGGAAGGCCTCGCGGCGCAGACAAAGAGAGACGTAGGTAGACACTTGTTGGACAAAGAATTGGAGCGCACTGGAGTCCCCGTACGTACCGGTACCTTAGCCTCCTCCTCCACCTCCCTTACCCGCAAGGTAAAAACAAAGGCTAAAAGGCCGAAGCTCTGAGTGCCAAGAAAGCACGGCCAAGAAGCAACGTGAGACGTCACCACCAATCGGTCACATCTTTCCGTAGGCGCGCCCGGAGATGGCAAACCACTGTTCGGACTGAAGAGAACGGCAGCACCCGGTTTTTTCCATCGTCGACGGCGTTGAGCGTGGTGGTGGTTTGGGGCGTGGTTAACAGCGTTGACACAGCCGCTAGAGGTGCAAAATGACGGCAAACTCACATGCATTCCACGAGGGCTGAGGATCCATGCCAGGAACCCCCCCGTCAAACGCCGCACCGCACAGCGCCGGACATCATAGCCACGGAACGTTGTCAAGGTCAATTAAGTTGACGTGCGGCATATGTGCACGTCAATGTCCAAGTCGATGCCGGGGCCGGAAATGGTGCGCATGATTACGCATCGTGCCCGAAACGACCCAAAGTCGGGGTGAGGCCGACAATCTATAGTTTGTGGTCGTGGTTGGAATTGCATTCGAAGCCAAGTCCTCCCAGGTGCCAGGTTGGAACATCCAAGAGAGTTGATTCGTCCTCCAACAGCAGGATGCCTTCTAAGGTTCCTATGCAAAGCATCTCAACGCCTAACGCCCAACGCAGCTGGATTCCCCGTCACTGATGTTGGCTCGCCAATTGGTCGCGTGCATAGTGTTTTGGGCATTAAGAGAGGTTAACGACGTGTTTCGGTATCGAAACTGTTTTGGGACACGATGCCGTCCTCCTCTGCCAATTGTAGCGTCTACCTGTCATCATGACGGTATTGAAGCCTTGCAGCCTGCCTGGATTAGGTAGACCGTTGAGCAGTACCATCGACTGCTGCATTGCAGCTGTACGCTTACGCGGTTATTGGAACAGACGCAGCTCTTGATCAGCGCGTCCGGCTCCGAGCTTTGAGCAAGGCAATTCCCGCCAATGCTACCCGGGAGTCTGTGCTCGTCTTAATACATGCTACTATGATGTGAGGCAGTCACTGGATGATGGATGGATGGATGAATGGTCAGCCCTCGTTCCAGCTTCGGCTCCAGTTCCTGCCTCTAATCCGGGATACGAAGTGGCTTCCCTGGCTTAGTCGGATCCTAGAGGCCGGATCAAATCTTGTTGAAGCTGTACCTAGCACCGGGAGGAGGCGGTAAGCAATCCCTTCTCCCTCTTCTGCCGTGTGTGTGTGTTTTTGGCGAGTTTGACAAACACACTGACCGCGCAGTTCGTTGTCAACCAGACAACCACAACAACGAATCCCGGTAGTTCACTCAGACTCACACTACTTAAATTACAGAGAGTCGAGCCTTTGGCTATCATGGAATCCGACCCACGCTCGCCCACCTCAAGTGGCTCTTACTGCAAGCAATGCCGAACCGCGTCTTCCCTCGACTGGGAACCCTTTCCCACAGGCGTTCACATCATTCGCGATCAAGGAAATATTGAACATAGGGTATAACGTAGCACCGCAGGGCAAGTCTCCTCTCACAGCCCGCCGCCGCCGCCCGCACTTCCGTCCGCCCTTGCATCGGGCTCAACCCAGCCAAGTCCAGTCCAGTCCGAGGGGAGGACTAATAAGTGACGATGCACATCTAATTAGCGCAGGGTAGCGCAAGTGAACCACGTAGCAAGTGCGCCTAGCGCAGAACCACGAAGGCATGCTCTGAATAGACAATGCTGCGGCAGCCACCTTGAACTGACACCGAGGTACGTAAGGTATTCCCACTTTGCAGGGCCACATCCAACGTGGCCCCCGGAACCTGGGCCCGTCCAGGTCATGTTTGAAGTCTCCACGAACCCGCTCGACGAGCCTTGACACTTTGATGAGTTTCCACCACAAAGGTAGACGGAGTTGGTGGACCCCCACGACCACCAATCCGACACTCATCTCATCAGAGGCACCTGGAACAGGAGCTGGGGTACCTTAGCGGCCAACGGCCTTGCGCGCCCCTTGGTTGCTTGACCGTCCGTGAGGATCGAGTACCAAAGCCACCGTTTGGAGACGGCGCCTGTATTCGGCAGATCACTGGACGTGCACCGCCGTCCCACCGGGGTAGGTGCGCCTAGATCAGCCACTACCATCACCAGCCAGAAGCAACACCCGCCAATCAATGCGTACCGTATTGACCGTTCAGGCGCGATACGTACCGCCCTTGGACTTTTAAGCACTTCTTTTTCATTTTACTCTGCAAGACGCGTTGGGCCGTCGCGCTTGTCAACCTCGATCAACGACATCACCCCGTATCCAACCCTCGATCTGGCCTCCGCAATCTGACTACTCATTATTTCCCGGCAGATCACTTGCATGCCCAGATGCAATGACATGTTCTAGCGTGTGATTTCCGACCACCCAGCCGACCACCCAGCGCAGATGGTGTTGAATCCAAGCGTCACCTAGACCCGGTTCCCCTATGCGGCGACCACAGGTGGAGGTCACGAGTCTAAACCGGTATCGACGATGAGATGAGATCCCGCCACTACAATGGCACGCAAAAGAAAAGCACAGACGCTCGGGGGGCCGAATGAGAAGCATTCCGGATGCAAGAAGGCGAAGTTGGATCTGACCAAGAGTCAGGTCAAACATTCGGTCCTGCAGCAGTACTACGACACTGTTCAGACACTCCGCGAATACCTGCTTTCAAAGCTGCCAGGCTCTTCGAGACTTCGTCGCAAAAAGATTGCCTCGTTGGGTAAGGACGAGATTCAGCCAAGCAAGGAAGGTCATGATTTGATACTGGAGCTGTCCTTGTTACTGGACACGACCCTGGTTTGCACACATCATCGCCCCCAGGCTCAGACCGATTCTCGATGGGAGCAATGGAGGTCCTTCTCGCAAAAGGCTGACGAGTCTATCGTATCGGCTTCGGGCGATCTGGCCAGTGCTACTTGCTCACAATCAGAGGTGCCTCCGTGCAACCCCAACAGCTTTGTATCTCAGGCTGACTAGCGAATGCAGATAGTTGACTTCGTCATCTGGCAACTGTTCTCCAGGATGCAGTCTCATGCCACTTGGCCGAAACACCTCCTATGTGATGGCTTCAGGCGACGCGCTCAAAATGTTGCCAATACGAATGGTCAGGACAATGCCGGGTCCGTTCCGGGGCTTGCTTCTGTTCACCCGAATTACCATGTTCAGGCCCTTAAGGATACTCCGTGGCCGCAGACCCTCATGCTCCTTGGCAAATCGGGCGAGCAGATCATGATCGACCTCCTCATTGACACGGCCATATTTCTTCCTGTGAAGGCCGGCGTCGGCAATTTGTATCAACTGAGTGGTATCCCCATGTCGGAGACTGGGGTGTCTGTAGCTGTGGACCAAGACAAGACGAATCGTTCAAAAGGGGATTCCAAGCCAATAGATGCGGTTGACGAACGACTTCCTTCCGAAATCACGTTCGTGAGGAATCGCATGTTCTACGCCAGAGCAGCGCTTACTGCCAAGGGAACTGTCCACTACGGCCTCAGACATATACGTAAGCTGCCCCTTGGCTGCGTCAGGGACTTGCATTGACTCTCTGCAACAGACGTATTGAGCCGTTGCCCATACATCTCTTGTTTAGATGCGGCGTCGGAGGAAGAAAAATTGGCAGTTGCCCAAGCCAATGAGCGTAACACGAAGAAGACCCTCATGTATATTTTCCCTCGACAGTTTGGTCTACACAATGCGTTTACCTCGAAGATCGATCACTCCAAGACGTCTCAGAAGTTTGCAGACTACACCCTCCGTGAGGAGGAAATCTCGACACTATCTGAGAAGCAGAGGATGCGACTTCCCAAGAGACTTCGAGGAAATGCCAAGCGGCTTGTCGAGCGGTTGCAACTCCTCCATGGCCGCTGCGCCTATGCCGAGCTACTGCGGCATTACTGTCCATCTGCCTTCGATATCAAATCTGGCACCTCTGCGTCGGAGAAGACACTCAAACGGTCCCAGAGATTTCCGACTTCGCAGGCACCGGAAAGCAAGACTCAACTGACGGTGTCTTCTGACCTTCTTAGTATTACAAAACAGAGCCGTCAAAAGCCGCGGCAACCAGCACCGTCCTTGTCGGTGATCAAGTTCGATGCAGTGACTGAACTAGCGACTCCAACAGCCCATGTGTCCGCGTTTTGCCAGGCTGTGCTGGCCAAGGTTATTCCCGATGAGTTTTGGGGGCTTGGCAACGACCAGATACACAACAAAAATACCATACTGAAGAAGGTCGACCATTTTATCAGAATGCGGAGGTTCGAGAGCATGTCCCTCTACGAACTTGCAGACGGGATCAAGGTTAGAAGTCGTATGTCTCGTTGACGAGTCTCTGCTAACTCGTACAGGTGACAAGCATGGAATGGCTGGCGCCACCTGCTCTAAAGGGTCAGAGGACCAGCCAAACAGACATGAAGAAACGACTCGAGATTCTCAACGAATTTTTGTACTATGTTTTTGATTCTCTCTTGATACCCTTGTTACGCAGCAATTTCTACATCACCGAGTCAAGCTCTCACCGTTACCGTCTGTTTTTTTTTCGACATGACGTCTGGCGATACGTGGCGGAGCCAGCGATGACCACCCTCCGGACAAGCATGTTTGAGGAGGTGAAGTTGGATCAGGCGACAAAAATCCTCGATTCCAGGCGCTTAGGCTTCAGTCGTATCAGGCTCTTGCCCAAGGGGAAGACCATGCGACCGATTATGAACCTCCGGAGGAGGACCGCGGTCAAGGGCAACCGCGCCATCCTTGGACCGAGCATCAATTCCATTCTCGGCCCTGTACACTCCATACTCAGGTTAGAGACAGTAGGGATATCACTCATCCACTTCAGTTTCTTCTTGCTGACTATCTTCAGGAACGCAATCCATGCAAGCTTGGCTCTTCCATGTTCTCCGTGGGTGATATTTACCCACGCCTGAATGCTTTCAGTGCCGGCTTCAAAGATCAACATCCCAAGTTCTACCTCGCCAAAGTGGATGTGCAATCTGCATTTGACACAATACCACAGGCGGCCGTTATCCGGTTGATGGGGGACATCCCCAGTGAGAAACAGTACGTTATCAAGAAACACGTCGAAGTCAAAGCCGGGCTGGTAGACAGCCGGCCCCAAAAGCATACAGTCACGAAACTGACGCGACGGTGGCACTCCATCGCTGTGACGCGCAATGACACGGCCGACTTTTCAAAGCTGGTTGAGAGCCGTCTTGGGAAGAACCGGAAAAACACGGTATTCGTGGGCAACACGATGAGGAGGGAAGTCGACATCGGAGAGTTGATGGATCTGATGGCGTCGCACATCAAGCAAAACTTGATCAAGGTCGGCAAAAAGTTCTACAGGCAGAAGAAGGGCATCCCGCAGGGTTCCGTGCTCTCCTCCGCCCTCTGCAACTACTTCTACGCCGATCTGGAAGCGCAGCACCTCGCGTTCCTCGCGGCGGAGGATTGCCTTCTCTTGAGGCTGATAGATGACTTTCTTCTCATCACGACGGACCAGTCAAAGGCGCGCAAGTTTGTCGATATCATGCACGGCGGACTTCCCGAGTACGGCGTCACCGTCAACCCCAACAAGACGCTGATCAATTTCGACATGGAAGTCAGCGGCGTAAGGGTAGCTAGGCTGCCAAAGGGATCTCATTTCCCCTACTGCGGCTTGGGCATTGACTGCAACACGCTCGACATCGTCAAGGACCGAGATCATGTCAAGGACACCGGTAAGCCCCATGCCTCTGCTCAGGAGATGCATAGTTTTGTCAAGCTGACCAACTCATTAGTGGTCTCCAACGCTCTGACCGTCGATTACGGCAACAAGCCTGGTCAGAACTTCCAGAGAAGAGTCCTGAGTAAGTGTCACGTCGGCTCAACCGTTTCCATCCATGCCTTGACTGACATTCCCGCAGACGCATTCAAAATCCAATCCCACCTCATGTTCTACGACACCAAACACAACGCCCTCGAGACCGTCATGTCGAACCTTCACCGGGCCTTTGCGGAGACGGCCGAGAAGATGTGGGCTTACTGGCGGTGCCTGCCCGCATGGAAACGGCCTGGTGACGGATTGATCATGCGTAAGTTCCGTCCCTGAACTTTCTGCTCCGTTCCTCCATCCCGCTCACGCTGTACACAGAAACCATGGTCAAGGTCATTGACGTCGCCGTCGTCCTCCTTACTAGCAAGGCTAGGCGGGAGAAATATCCCGGCTACGCCTGCGCCGTCGAGAAGACGCACGTTACATGGTACGTAGCAAGCCCCCTCGGGTCGCACGCTCGTCGCTCGGAACACCTGGCTGACCCGGAAAAATACTCGTAGGCTAGCTCTCGACGCAACCAGGGAGGTCCTCTCAAGAAAGCAAGCAAACTTTGCGGGTGTCCTCTCGTGGATCAGCACCGAGCTCGGGAGACTTGATTCCAAGAAGACAGCACGTGCGAAAAGGGGCATTCGGTGAGCACTCTGTATTCATGCTTCGCCAAACCCACGCGGTCACACGTAGGAACAAGTTTGCTGCTCCCGCAGGGCGTTCTGCTTGCCGCCTGCGAGGGAATTGACTGGCCCACCTTGAATGCCGTACCACCTCCGTGCTCGTGCCGCCCGTGACTCGACACGTCAACATCCAGTGCATTTCTTCTAAACCCCTTTGAACCGGCAGTTCGCCGGATGCCTTGTCTCCTCCTTGTGTGGTGTAGTACAAACTGCGTCGCTGAAGATATCCCCCGCCCCAACATGCATCACTCCAATGCACCCATATCGAACCAGCAACCCCCTTTCTTCAGGGACTGTGACTCGTAGACAAGCCTTCACGTCTTCGATATAGCAAACGATGGACTCGTATCCCCAGGAAACGGAAGTGTACTCCTCATACTTGCTAATGGACAGAGAGGGAACCAACATCATGGCCGACCAAGAAGCCCGCTTCCTGGAGAACTTCGCCGCCGCTCCGACATACCCGGACACCCTGCTCTGCCAATACGAGGAAGCGGCGGTGGTCAGAGAACGGCGCGACCACTACGCCGAGAAGAAGGCCCGGTTGTTCGATGCGTTTCTCGGAAGGCGGGAGCCACTGGTGATTCTCGACTTCGGAGCGGGACCCGGCCCTGAACGCGATTCTGGTGAGGCTGCCGAGAACTGGGCTGCTGGTGATGGTGTTGGATGCATGGGCTCACATATCATGTTCTAGGGGACGTGCCGGCTTCGAGTTGGAAGCGGAAGGGGAAGCTGTACCTCATCCGCGACGTGGAGGGGCTTCGAAACAGGCTGTCATGGCCGAGTCCGACCAAGACCACGATGGAGCCAGGCAGTCTTGTGAAAGATCCGCCACTACGCGTCATGTATGTCATCCTCAGGGGCAGCTCAAGATGAAAATGCACTGACAACAATAACAAAGCCTCTTGGAACGTCTCTGGCCGACTTCGATGACGCTTAACCTCAGCGAGGATGTCCTGCTAGATATGCTCACCTATCATCAAGTCCCGGCCCATTTCCTGAGCTTCCTCGCGAGCGGTGGCGGGGCCTGGAGCTTCGCCACCAGCATGCGCTTCGCAGGGTTCATGAGTTGCTCTACGCTCCCGCCTCGGAAACGGCAGCCGAGCCTCGCGAGGCTCGGCCGCAGCGGTGCGCACGTGCAGGTTTGCCTCACGCTGTTCAGCATCCGCGAATACCCCCTTCACGCGTTGCCCGAGGATGCGGACCCTGTCCGGACACCTCGGTGGGAGACGCACTCTGCCGTCGTATACCTTCACTTGGACCTGAAAGAGGGTACGGCGGTTTGGCTGCTCGTGAGCCCGAGGTCGTATCATGAAGAGAAAGGCAAGGGTACGCAGAATCTTCTATGGAATACGCTGAAAGGCGATCTGGCAAGTGACTTGACTGCGTTTGCACGTCTCGACGTCCACGAGCGCTTTCGTGCCAGTCTAAGCTGTCTTCTTGCCGCCGCCCGGTGGTCTATTGGAAAGTTTTCGCGCCACCTTCAAGACACAGAGAGACGGCTCTCTGATCTGGTGAGTCAAAGTCCTCGGGATCCTCGTCGGTGATCGTTGCAGCATGCCGACAAGATACAGACCAAGCCGTACGTGTACCCTTTCGACGATGACGACATGGTTGACGACGAGCCACGGGAATCAATACACGCTCAGGATCTGCGAAGGATGGCCTTCATAATGGAGTCACGGCACGGGAGTGTCATGAGAGCCGAGAATAACCTTCGGGTCCTTCGAAACCTCCGGAAGTTCTTCGTTGATGAGGTGTCCGCGGACCTCAAGAACTTTGACGGTGGCCATGCCGACGGATTCCGTATGCATATCGAAAACTTCGCAGAAAGGGTGACGTCGGTGATCGAAGAGATTGAAGACCTGCTTGACAAGGCACTAGCTTTGGATAAGCTCGCCAAGAACCGAGAAGAATACGTGAGCCGTGACAAGCAATGCAGTCAGGGGCCAATGGCTAAAGTTGCTAGATTCAACGGTTGCAAGCGCACCACTCGAGCCAGCAGACGAAAACAATCGCAGAGCTAACGGCAGACGACTCGTCCGCGATGAAGCAGCTATCCTTCATAGCCCTGGTTCTGTTGCCCGTTACGGTAGTATCGGTAAGTTTGGCGATCCCTGGAGGTTTTGCGGGGAGATGCGAGACGGGAACAAGAAAAGACTGCGTTGATCGGATGCCAACACCAATTACCGTGTACGTAGGCCGTCCTGAGTACAGACATTGTCAAGTTTCAAGACCTTGAAAGCGAACACGAGAAGAATGCCACCGGAGGCACATCTGACGGCACCGTACCCGTCTTCCACTTCTCGGCCGCCGCGTTCGGCACGTGGGCCGTTGCGAGCGTGCTCATGACCATCGCGACGCTGATGATTGTCAAGCCGATCAGCAGTCGTGGGCGGCGCGGTAACGGTAGAGTTAGTGGCAGTGGTGGTGGCGAGGATGCGGCTGCATACGCGTGGGTACCTCAATTGAAGGGATGGACGTCGTATGCATGGAACTTTCGAGATGCCTTCGAATCGGCCGAGAAAAAGAAGTTTCGGTCCAACACAGAGAAGCCAAACCCGGCAGCGTCGGCATCCGCTCCCTCGATCCATGCGGCTCCGATGGTCACCAAGACGGCATCAAATTCGCCAGAGGCTCCGCTCGCGGGTGAGGGTGCTCCCGCTCCAGCCGAGACCCTTCAAACGTGGAAATGGATGGGACGATGGTTAGGCGCTGGTGCTTTGGACACTATGTGGCAGAAGGCAAAGGATAGGTCGAACATGACGGCAGCGGCGACGACACCATTACCCCGATGGGATAGTCGACGAGACGAGGGCTAGACGAAGCACGAGACGCTGGACAGAGATCGCGGCAACTGAGTTTGCAGCTGTATCGACGTCTTGGTGCGTTGGTCGAGGTGCGTTGGTTCTCGGAGACAAGCTTAACCACCCAGAAGGCAGGGTTGCATAGACTCGGAGAATAAAATCGGGCTGGTCAGATAATTAAACATATTCCAGATCCCTTAGATCCCTTCGGCCCCGTTGCCGTCCAGCCATTCACTGCCCTCGAAGCGGCCAAGGTTGAGCTCAACTTACGTTTGCCAGGCTTCAGCCCTCACAGCAGCCGCATCTTCCCTCGCGTATTGTCTCCATCGCATTACCATTTTGGATTGGACCGTCGTAACCGGAAGCGTCGCGCATCGGAGGTTCAGGCCAACCGGGATGGTGGCATGAGCGGGGCCTTCACATTCACGGGTGGCCGAGGAAAGCGACACTTGGACTGGTCTGATGCAGGGAGGGGTGAATGTGAATAGGCCACTACGTGGCAATGCCCTCCTCCGTACTCGTGTACGCACTGTCGTTTTCCTTGAATGTTTGTCTCCCGGCCGGGTTGTTCACGCAACGCGCAAAAGGGATGGGAACATTGGATAGTCGCTTCCCGTCTGTGCTGAAAGGCGAGGCCACCGACCTCCATGACGCTGGTGCATAAGAGGTTTTGGCGAATCAGGGCATCGCACGCAACGAGCGGGCGATTGGGGGTGTCGGAGACGCTCATCATGATTTGTTGCCTTCGGATCCGGCAAGGAGCCACCCCGCCTGGCCGACGTTTGTCCAGGGAAGGTCCCATCACCCGAGGCAGGTGCCGTAGGTGAGGTGGTGGCGGCCCGGACAGCTGACGTGGGGCTGCTTCCACACTATTGCCTTTTTCATCCCACACGGCGGAAGGAGGACACTTTATTTTTCTCTTTCGCGCTTGGAGAAGGCGAGTGGACTCCGGTACTTTTATCGCCGGGGGACTTGATTGACGTCAGACGAAAAGATGCGGCGACTCGAACAGCCTCTTTCTATACGACACAAACACGAAGGCGAAATCGAGAGTGTCGAACGAGCTCCTGCCCTCTTCCATCCGTCCACTCCTTCCCGTCTTTTCCCACCATTGGCCTGTCCTGTCTGCGTTCTGCCCCTATTCAAAGGCGCTTTGCCGTTTCAACCCACCCAATGATTACTCTGTCCATCCCAGCTCGCATTACCGTGCCATCCCATCCATTCATCCTCCCACCGTTCTGCTACCTATTTGAGATTTCGGTTTTGTTTCCAAAGGGGCGAAACACATCTTCACTTGCCCTGCTTTGTGGATGAAGATGAGAAGAGCCGACACACGCCACACACCACTTACCCGCTCACCTTGCACACACGCGCCGCATGTCGCATGACTACAGTCCATCGCATTTCAACGCTCCTGAGGCTCGGAAGCGCTCATCCCTCCCCCATACCCTGTCTTCGTCTTTTCGGTTGCGGGCTCTTCACGTCTCCCTTGCTGTCCGTCCCCCAATCGTACTCGGATTCGGTTCCTAAACGACAGTAAATACATCGACTCAAGCAGGCAAGGAAGGCCACGCAGTGTTGGCAAGGGTTGTGCGATATTACAGGCTCCAGTACTAAACATCAGGGTCAGGGCACAGCTACTTTCCACGTTTCCCCAGACTTGCTGTTTCCATTGCTCGTTATCTGGAGGGTCCTGTCTTCCACCCCCTTCACGTATTCGGGGAGTTGGCCGTGTCTTGCTGAACTTGTGGCCCATCTGAGTCAGACATACATACAGCTGTGGCTGCATGTACGTTTATTTATACAACCTCATTCCTCCCCTTCACCGCAACCGTCTTCACCGCCGATCAACCACAGCATACGACTCTGGGAACCAACGCAACTCTTCATGGTGGGAGACACCATGTCGCAACAATCCATCATGTCGGCCGATATCACCACGACGTTAGGCTTGCCCGACATCGTCACGCCTGTTCTTAGCAACATCACCAGGCCGAGTCTCGCCAACGTCAGCTCTCCGGTTCTTGCGACCATCGTCCGCGACGCCTACCGCGCCACCTTCAAGGCCCGCGTCGCGGCGGGCGAGGCAAGGCCCTTCGTGCTACCCTACGGCATCTTCGCGACCTTTATCGTTCCTATACTCTACCTGACCATTCCACACACGAAACGGCCATGGCTCTACCACGCAAGATGGCTTGTGCTTGCTTTTATCATCGTATTCAACCTCGACATCTTGAAGGACACCTCTAGCACTAACATGTCCATATCGTATTCTGCCGGGCTATCGGCGTTTTGGGGAATCTTGTGCAATCTTACCATGTTGGTATTCACGGCGCCACAGTTTGATTACGAAAGAGTCGTTCGCAGAAAGGCTAGGAAGCCAACATCGTCTCCCAAGTCCTCCAAGCCTCCTAGCAGAGCAAGCTCGCCCGCGGAACGCCCCGCCTCACCGAGCGGCTCTGGGCTCAGAAAGCGAGCTGGTAGCAAAAAGCGGAGATCCGGCCGGGTAACAGCACCGGAAGTCAACCTCGACGAGTACGAATATTATTGGCAGGCCTACCCTGAGAATGGAACTTTCCTCGAGAGACTTGGCTGGGTAATTGATCTCTACACCAACTTCAGGGGAGTCGGTAAGCACTATCACCTTCTCGCAGCACAGTGATCATTACTAACTTAGAAAGGTTGGTCTTGGGCTGTCCCGTCGGTACCTAGTCCAGCTCCCCCTGAACGCCCCGGCACAGGCGAGACGGTCAAGATGGACACAATACCATTGGAGACATTCGTTGGGTGTCAGACCTACAAGGACGAGAAGGAATTCTTGCGAAGGAAATTTATCCCTATCGGAGTCGCATATCTCCTTCTTGATGCCCTCAAAGTCACCATCATAGAAGATCCCTACTTCGTCCTTGGCCAAAGCTCTTGTCCCCTTCCTCCTCACCTGGCGGCCCTCCCGTCGTGGGCCGTTCCCATGTACCGACACGCTACTGTCATTGGCGTAATTTACACCGCGCTAATCATGGTCTTTGGTATCCATGATTTGTTCCAGTACTACGCTCTCAGCTACTTCTTTCCCATGCGGGGTGAGCTGTGGCAGTATTCCACAGTATTTGGCTCATTCACCCAAATCCTGGACAGGGGCTTGGCTGGATTTTGGGGGTCTTGGTGGCATCAGACTTTCCGGCATGCCTTCTCGGCGCCGGTTAACTATGCCGTCAGGCATGGATATCTGGAGAAGGGGACACGCAGCACAAAGATGGTTGGCATGTTGATTGCGTTTCTTCTCTCGGGCCTCCTGCACGGCGCTGGGAGCATCAGCGCGATCCCCGAGACGAAGTGGTGGAAGCCTGCTCTCTTTTTCTGGCTGTCGGGCGTGGGTGTGTTCATCCAGCAGATGTTCTGCACTGCCCTGAAGCCTCAAATTTCGAAGCTACCTCGCGTCTTGAGGAGGTTCGGAAATCTCCTGTTCGTGGTCGCGTGGCTGCACATCACCGTCCGGCCACTGGCGGACGACTTTGCGCAGACCGGCCTCTGGCTTATGGAGCCTGTTCCTGTTTCTTTGGTTCGCGCTTTGGGGTTCGGACGCGGAGAGGTCTCTTGGTGGAGGCCCGACATGGAAGCGATTGGTCATTGGCATACTGGACAGCATTGGTGGGATTCCGGATTCAGCTACTAGATAGAGCATTGGCGCGAGCCTCATTTGTGTTATAATCCGACCAAGCGATGTTTTCATGCATCTTATAGATCGCACAAGTACTCCTTCTCCTTCTTCTCGTACTGCGCCGCTTCAGCAACCTCGATGCCCGTGCCGGCTTCCTCCTGTCCGTCGGCTGCCATGTCAACATTCTGCAGGCGGCGGCGCGCAATGGCTTCCTTATCCTCGTCGCTCGGTCGTCGCGAGACGCTACAGTACTACTTGTCGCCCCCAAGAGACTAGGCCCCGTCAGCTCGTATCTCGCGCCATCTCGTCCTATCAAGTGCGCGGCGCCTTTACCTCCTGGACGCGGATCGCGTCGTTGGGGAATCGCTGCTCGGCGACAGCCCTGAAGTCGGCCTTCTCCAGACCCATCTTTTCGGCCTCGAAGACGTGGCCTCTCCTCTCGCCAAAGAGGTCCTTGGTCGCCTTCTTCGTCGACTTGTCGGGCGCGCTTTGCTGGGTGTGGGCGGTCGACATGTTGGACGGGCGAGTTTCGGACGATAACCCCGCCGACTTTTCGAAGGAGCTTGGGTTGAGGGATGTTTCGTGGCAGGTTTCGACCTGGGGTGCCTTGAAGTAGAAAGGCTCACACGGTCGATGAGTACTGGCCGGCTTGGTGAGTCCTCGCCCGGTGACGCGGCGGGTTGGCATGCTCCCCGGGGTGACCGGCCCCGTCCTATAGCTGGGGCTGTTGTTGTCTTCGTCGTCTGTCTTGTTCATTCTGGAGTCATGCGGTGATAAGTACGGTGCAAGCTTGGGAAGAGGAGGACAAGAGGCTTGTGGGCCCGGGGCGGAAGAGGGATGTGGGATAAATAGCTTATTGCAAGCTTTTACCACCTAATTTTGTTGTATCTTCTGTCAGCGTTGGTCATGGAAGATAATGTTGAGTGTGAACAGTCACAGGACTGAAGCATGATAGGGGTAGGAGTAACGACACATCCGCATACTTTTCTCAACTGAGTAACATCCACCAGCACATGTTCATTACCTTTGTGGGTTTCATCATTCTCACGACCTTAGTGTCACAATCGTTTGCAGCAGAGTCCAAGACTCAAGAATCGTCCGGAATGTCCTGGTGTTTTCAGCGATACAAAGAGAGGCGGCTCGAAACGAGTCATGGGCTACAGCCAGTCAGGGACAACCTCAAACGCCAACCTGGGATGGATATGGAAACTTTGAAGACTTGTTCGAGAAGAGAAAACCTTGCCACCAAGGTTCACCGTTACCCCTTTGCCGCTCCAACAGTGTCGAGGTAGAGAGGTGAGCGATACAGTCCGCAACCACGCAGTGATGCACAAGACAGCATACTCCACTAACACAAGAAACGTTTGCCACACAGTAAGTGTAGTCGATATCTGTATCGATTTTCGTAAAGTCGATTGACTAGCCATAGTAACCCTTGGTGACAGGAAGCAAGGGAAAACAAGAAAGGGGGTATCTGAAGCTGGTGCCAAAACCGAACCCAACCGCCATCCCAACCTTTGACCGTAACCCAACGCCGGACTCTCCTATTGAAAGAAGATGATAAGTGGTATCTCAAATAACCACCAGACCCAAAACCTAGACCGATCCAGTCGCAAAGATTCCCGGCTGAACAACGTCCGAAACGTCCGATACCCTGTCGTGATAGAAAAGACGGAAGAACTCGAAAGTGGATATAAGGTCGAGAAAAGTAGAGAGCAAAACCAATCCATTCCATGTGAAAGTTGAACGCAGGTTGAAGATGACGAGCAAAGAGCAAAAACGTCATATGCAGTGGCAGTGACTACAGCCTCTTTTCATAGGCCGGATCAAACGAGCCCATCAGCGAGAGGAGTTCTTCATTCCGGCCAGGATGTTGGCCATGAAAACGTCGGTCTCTCCGATCTTGAACGTGAGACCCTGCTGGGCGGCGGGCTCGACGGTCTGTTACACGTTAGCATCCACGTCAGAGCTCTCGCGAAGATGCCTGTTGCTTACCTGGATGCGAAGTTCGTTGGGGACGAAGGGAGCGCTGTCCTGCATCTCCTTTTCAGTGGCGTCGATCCAGTTCTTGAGGAGACCAGTGCCATTCATCTGCAGCTTCATCATGACGAGATTGGCGTAGCCACGAAGGAGCTGCATGGCGGCCAAGTTGCCGTCGGCGCGCTTGATGCGTGTAAGCGCCATGTTACTGACCCAGGCGCCGTGAACTGCGTTGCGAAGCTCGATCTCGGCATCCTGTGTATTCCGAACGCCGGTGAGGGAGAGGCGAAGGCGGACCTTGTGCTCGATGGCGGCGGCGAGATCATCAAGGCCGGCGGTGACGAAGGCGCGGCTGGCGTCATGCTCGGCGAGGGTGGTCTTAGGAGCGGCTTCACGAGTCGAAGCCTCGGCCTTCTTAATCGCCTTGCTGGAGGTGGCGGAGAGTTCGGCCTTGCTGATCGGGGCGAAGTATTGCGATGAAGTATTCTGACGCTTGGGGGCGGGAGTCTCCTCAGCCGCGGCGGCAGCGGCGCGTTTCTCATCATCCGAGGCAACGGCGGGGGCGAGGGACTCGGTAGCCTTCGTCTGGGCCCTGAATCCAGCGCCGGGGTGAAGCTGGGGCAGGCCCTTGTGCTGGTAAACCTGAGTGTGGTTCTTGAAATCGTAGCCAGCGGCCTGCTGAGCGTGCTCAGGGGCGTGGAGATAAGCGTTGGCCCCTTCAACAGTACCCTGCTGAGCATGGCCATTTGTCTAGAGCAGGAATATCAGTCGAAAGTGAATCAGATGAGTTGGGGTGAGACCATGTTATCATACCTTTGCACCACGGGGGAGGTTCTTAGCGGAAGGGAGTTGGGGAATAAGGTGCAAGCTCTGGGCTGAATCAGCCATCTTTAGACCAGACTTGGCGTTCTGGTCCTCGCCGAGAGCGGCATTGGGCTCCTCAGCGTCACGCTGCTTCTTGACGTTGGCCTGACGCATCTTCTCATACGTCTGAATGGTAGCAGCGCGGACGGGACGAGAGTTGGCAAGACCAATGGCGGCGACTGGGGTGTTGCTGGCAGGAGTACCGACGGACTCAGTCTCATTGACACTCTTCTTAGAAGAGGCAGAGGCCTTGCGACTCAGATCGGCGCGTGGGATGTACTCGTTATCGGGTGAGTTGGTGCTGTGGGCGTCCATCTCGTACTCTAGATCAGAATCGCTTTCGGAAAGAATAATCTTCTTCTTCGAAGGCTTCTTGGGCTTCTTCGTCGGAGTGGACAGATTGAGTGAGGAATTCTGATTTCTCGTGAGAACGGTCTGTAGAGGACGAAAAGAGAAGGAGGGAAAATCAGTCCGGGGTTCGGCAAAGAAAGGCGGGTGTGCGGGTATGGGAAGGGGGGTTACCTGAATTTGCTTGGGCCCATCACATGAACCCAGGCCTGCCGTAGCCTTATTCTTGCCATTACGGAACGAAGAACTTTTCAAGTTGTGCTTGTTACTGCCAGTCGACGAGGAACCAGCAAGACTAGCAGGTCTCCGCAAGACGGGAGTGGCCGAGGCGGGGTTACACCGGCCTCCCGAGCCGGTGCCGGGCGCGCTATTGCTGACCTGTGCGGCGCCATGACTGGCCGAGGTGATTGAACGGGGCTTCCAGTCAAGCTCGCCAATGCTCCTCTGAGGGTGGGTGGGATAGAGCTTCATGTTGCCGGCGGCGACACAGTCGTGGCAGATGGCAATGGCGCAAACAGCACACATCTGGTGAGCGACCTGATCGGCAGCGAGCTCTTCGCAACTGTCACACTTCACGTAGTGAATCTCGCACGGCGCCCACTGATGACGAAGTCTCTGCTTCTCCCTCAACTCCTCATCGCTGTCGGCCTCAATCTGGGCCTTGGCTTTCTTAGCTTGCCTGGATTGCTTTCCGTCCTTGACGGGAATCTTGCGGTCCATGACGGTCGTTGATGATGTCAAAGATGTATGTTTCGAATGGGCGAGAATATGATAAACGAAGTGCCGTCGCTCTGATATTCGAAGGCAGAAGAAGAGAGGGCAATAAAAGAGATGCAAAAGTTGTGTTTGGCGAGAGTAGAGCAAGGCAACGAAGAGGCAAAACTCTGGTGTTGAGGTGCTAATTCTGCAAACAGAAACGAACAAAAGGGAGGAAAGAGAAAGCAGGAAAGGCAGACAAGTGAGCTCTCGCCTGATTTGAAGAGAAGTGAGGGTAGCTCTCGCCGGTTGAGAAGACAGCTGGGGACAAGAGGCTGATGATGAAGTACGGGGCTCTCGCCCAGTGAAGATAGGGGAAGGCACTTGTCAGTTGTGAATCACACGGTGGTTCTCTCCCGGCAGTGAAGTACAAGACTCCAAGTCAGTACGAACAGGCAAGTTGGCTCTCGCAATTTGTGAAAAGGAGTCAGGTGTTTTCACTGGCGAAGGTGACGGAAGCTCTCGCCCGTTTGGCAAAGAAAAGAGTTGTGTCTATCACCATCTATGAGCATAAACATTGGTCCTCACCGGGTGAGACAAGGAGACCTGTTTCTTGTCAGCCATGAAGAGACATGATAACTCTTACCAAGTGCTAAGAGGGCCAGCCTGTTACCAGCTATTAGAGAGACGTGAGTGCCCAGATCTAAGTATGAAGAGGCGAGCTCCACTAAAAGAGGGAGGTAACCACGGCTGACGATAGCTCTCAGATGAATGTAGTGAATTGTCTCCAAGTATAAAGTGATGCAGAAACGCTCACCACGAGATATAGTGACGGAGATGGAGCGTGATTCCAGCTCTCATCGGGTTGGATAACAAACCAGGGAAAGTTTTGTAAACGAGAAGAAGAGCACTGGCATTCGTCGTTATAGATGGGGGAAGAAATGCGGCATTTAGTTGACGGAAGCTGGAGGAAGTGGCGCTCCCTATGCATGAAGTACAAAGATTCTGCCCATGCCGCGTAAAAACTAGCAGCAGAAACCTCTCGCATATTCGAGCCAAGTAGAAACAAGTGGTGACTCTTGTGGATAGTGAACAAAGACAACAAATGGTTGTTGTCAAGGTTGCAGATAGAGAAGAGGCAGCTCTCACTGAACGAACCCAAAGACAACCCAAATCCCTTGCCGCTTCTTGGAGAGCACGAAATGGTGGCTGTGACTGAGTGTGATGATGGAGAGGGCATTCATCCCCTGAGGCGGAGGAGATAGGGAATTAAAGCTGTCAGTCCGTTTATGACGAATAAGCTGCAATCGAGTTAGTTGAGGAAATGAACCAAGCCCTTGCTGAAGTTGTGAAAAGAGATATGATGACTCTCGCCAATCTTAGGAAAATTGAGATGCGGAAAGAATAAGCAGAGAAGACATCGCCGGTATACCGTGTCGCCTCTGAGTCGCTAGTTCTCCCCAAGTTGTATGAAGTCGCAATGTCCTCTCACCGAGTTGAGACTTTTAAACGACCACAGCGTCTACTTCTTTTCCGCTGGGGCACTGTAACCACTGCCACGTTGTTTTCAGTACTTAGTAAAACCTATTGGGCTTGAGGGTACCCGCCTCTCGTATAGCTTCGAGTTGTTGCTTGGCTACTTGACGAATTAAAAGGTCATGTAGGAACACTCTCGCGTACTTGGGGCGGTGAATGATTGCTAGTGGTGTAGAGTATGACGAGAAAATAGACAAAAACAGAGTGTTACTCAGGGATATATACTAGAAACGATAGACACAATTTATTCACGATACTAACGGGGTCAAGCACTAAACACACCCAGAAACTCCCAATAAGCTGCTCTAAAAATGATATGATTCACGCGAAAGTCCCTCCCCCTCGGAAGCAGTTTTGGGGAAAGACCCAATAGCGGACTTAGGATTGGGCTTGGCATTAATGGACTGAAATCGATTTTGTCAAGTTTGGTCCTCGTCAAAGAATACGAAACCTAGGCAAGAACCAAGATGTACAGGCAACTATAGTACGAACAGTAGAGGACTAGGAAGAACTGGAAATACTTATACAATCGGATTGTCGAATCGTCGAATAGACAACATCATGTAGTACTTGCTGATTTCGCCGACGACAACGAAATCTGATCCCGAAGTAATGGACAACATGTGCACTCTTGTTTGCAGCACAAGAGCAATCAAAGGGCGGAAATCCATGCCTAGTCAAGGCGCACTTGGTGTGTAAACATGTGTGAAGTCGAATGGGTGTCATCGATGATGTCAACCCCAATAGCTCAACAAGCCATCCATGCACCGACAACGGCGCCATAACACCGACTTGTCAAGAATGAGGACGCGGGCACGAAGAACGTGCTGAGAAAGGATGCTGCAATACAGGCACTTGCACCCGACGAGTGCTATATCCGAGCATAGGCACCTGACTTGAGCACTTGGGAAGTGCTCATGCGCTGTCGGCGATGAAGGATTGCGTGTCGCGGCCGTTAGACAAGAGCCAGCCTACCTTGGCTTTCTGATGGACTGGGGCTACGTCGCCCTCAAGACATGCGTTCTAGTACCAAAAACCTGCATTATAAGCACGGGAGCTTCAGCGAGCCCTGTTTAAGCCTAGACAGTGCTTGCCGATACATGTACTGCGTGGCCGTTTGCAAGTCCCACCCATAGTGCTTATTATGTCCAACTATGTGAGTCGGGCATTTGCGATACATGACCAGACCCGCACTTCTGAGAGGACAATATTCCAAAACTTCTCCGACAACGTCAAATCAGATAAAATTGGAGAGCGAGTTCACATAAGTCGAGGATGCCATTGCTGTGGCCATCGTTTATGGTCAAGGGATGTGACAATGAGAGGTCGCGCATTCGAGGTCGCATTCATATGGCAAACACCGGTCAGGGAGTACAGTAGAATGGAGGCTCGAGGAACTCTCACGGTTCTTGACATGCATTATTTACCAGCTTGCCTTGACAACTCCGAACCCGAATGCATGCCACATAGACTGGGAGCTGTTTTGCGTTGAAGTCGGGATGAGTTGAGCGAAGGTAGATGCAGGTTCGCCGCCATCCAAACCGCGTCGCGGGGAAACCTGCAACAGATTGGGGTTTTTTTTTCTTGTTCTTCTTCTTCAGGGCGGCGGTCAAAGCTTCGCGGGATCGACCGGCAGACCCTTTTCGATCACGGGTGGTGGGTTAGCTGGAGTTAATATCCCCAATCGAGCGCGCGCCCGATCGTTGCCAGGACGACTTTCGCAACCGGTTTTGCGCAGCGAAAGAGATTGGCTGGCGGCCCAACGTGGACGATAGTTACTACGGCGACTCGGGACGGGGAGCCTGCCCGCGAAAGGGCAGGGTCCATGAGAGGGGAGAAATCGGCGCACGACATCGCCGCACGGGGGAGAATTCCCCCAGCCCTGACAAAAAGCCCACCGCCTCCAGCCTTCTCCGCAGACCGTTTGGGCTCCAGAAGCCCTCTCGAAACAGGATGGTGGGCTCGCGAAGCGGAACATGGCACCCACGAGGTGAAGTCTAGAGGGAAAAAAAAAGTCGACGGGTGACGTTGGATTAGATCGGGTACGTACCCTGTCGAGCAGACGACCCACAGCGCCGCATCTGGCGCACTGTGTCGGGTGAAACGGTCTGAGGATACTGGGCCAATAGCGTTGGACACCCGCTCTGCCTCAGCTTCTGATTCGTCAATCGGACCTGCATGCAATTTAACGCGACCCCACCAGACCGACGTGTCTTTGACGCGACAGACGCGTGCGGCTCGCGACGACGCGACGACGGCATCGACAGAGTTTCTCAACGGACACCGCCCACCTCTTTTCCTCTGGGTTCTCTTCTTTTCGCCCGACCCGTTCGACACGTTTCTCTCGGTCGTTGGCGGTGGCGTGCGCCCTGCTGGCCGAGCTACGGCGGCAATCGCGGGATTTCTATACTTTTCGGTGTGCTTGCTCGGTCACACACCTGGCGCTCACCTTTCCGCAGGTGCCGATGCCAGGCCCAGAGTCAATTTGGACGTCATCGTTGAGTCCACCTGAACCAACGAAAGCCATCGAGCATCTTCCACTCGATAGTCACAAGAGGCGAGCGAGCATGGCCGGTTGGTTCCCTTGTCGCAATCGCTAAAGTTGGATGAGAGGCGGGGCAGAGTAGAGCGGTAACCCACGATCCTGATGCAAGCCATTAAAGCCCGCCCCTCTTCAAGTCCAGGGCGTCCACCTTCCCATGTAGAGCGTGCCATTGTTCCTGATACGATTGATTGCGCCCGCGCGGATCATCCGCTCTTTGTGACGTGCCGCTGTGTGCCGGCACCACCACCACACCGCTCACTCACGCGCTCATGGCCCCCCCCGTGGCTACCTCGACGGTGGCTCGCGACAGAGACGAGGTGTGTCATGGGGGCGGTTGGCAATTAACGGGGGGAGATTAAGCAACCCATGGAGTGGTCGTTTCGAAAGCAATTAACCGGCCTTTCGTGACCAGGAGCAACGAGCCCCTCCGAGTCATGGGTCACCTGGACCCCAAGAGAGGCTTTGGGCGCAGTGAGTGTGACGAAATGGTCCTTTGGGAATCCGCGTGGAAAACAAGCTTCCGAGGGAATTGGCAGCCTTCAAAATTCTGACTGCTTACGACTCTCATCAGGTTGCAGTCGGGAAGGTGGTGTGCCGGAACCATGGACCATGAAGTCGTTGGGGGCTGATCGGAACATCTCACGAGCATGAGACGGACGAAGAGGACCTGGCTCCGTCCAGGGGGTCGTGGGCTAGGCTGGAGACCTGGAGGCGGCGACGGCCAGTAAGCCAGACGAAGGCAAGGCGACAGCTGGCCTGCATACATAGAGATTACAGACCTAGGCCGCGGATAACTCGCGTCCAAGAACCCTTTGCGCAGCACGATGCGCCCTCCAGAGTGGAGACCTGGGACTGGAAGAGGAAGTCTGAATGGAAGTGGTGGTTGGTGGCACGGCATCGGCAGGACGTTTTCTCCCCCCTAAAGGCCCGGCTTAAGCCCCGCTGGATGATTCCTCTGATTCACTCGCCGAATCTGCCGAATGGATCAAAGCATCGTTTGCCTACCTGTCAGTGATCGGCCAGTTGTACTCGCGTCTCTTCTTCGGCCCAAGAAGACTTTCCAAGCAAGTCACGGCGGACAGAACCAGATAAGCGGGAGACTTCTGATTGACAATAAGCAAGTCTACAGGGCTGGACCGAGGGTGAATCTATCATTGTCGGAAACAATGAGGGGAGACGCTGGCTCGCGCTAGGCTCTGGGAAGCCATTTACAAAGGCATCATAGTCGATTATCCGTGCGTCTCACCCTATTGTTTGTGGCAGAGTGACAGAAGGGAGGGCGCGAGCAGCGCGACCTCTAGCATCAAAATCGGAGGTAACGTAGCTCGCCCAAAGAGGAAGAACAGATAGCGGCGTCTATCGCGCGCTTCCCGATAGTATGGGGGTGAGCGGGGGAGATGGAGCAATAGAGTGAGACGAGGGAGCAAGCCAGGTAAAGAAGATGCAAAGTCCGCGAGGGACCGATTGTCTTGCATGGCATGAGGCTCTCTCTTCCGGCCGCAGAAGATCCAGGGAGAAGGACCATGGGTGGCAGTTCAAAGGTTGTGGTTCGTCATGACCGCTCGAGATGAAAGAGAGACAAGAAAAGATGAGGGGGTTTGACCTCTGGCCAGAGTCCGCCTTGCATAAAGATGGGAAGAGACACTGGAGGTGGGGATGGAGAAAGGGCAAGGTACGCGAGACAGGCAGAAAGAAGCAAGGAGCAAGAATAAGGCCGGCAGGCAGTCAGTAGTCGCGGTTAGTGACCGTGCCTTAGTCAAAGAAGGATCAGAGTCAGAAAGGTCGAAGGGAAAAGGCGAACAAGGGGGGTGTTGGAGTTGGAGATGATGGTGTATTTGCTATTCCGAGACGACCCTTGCAGATGGATGAGGATGCAGGTCTGGACGAGAAGGGGGAGCTACTGCAGGTGGGTGAGGGAGTCGAGGAGGGAGGAGGTGTGTGGGAAGCGGGCGACTGAAAGAAAGGAAAAGAAGCAAGCACGCCGTCCCAGAGTCGAGGTACAACCCGATGCGATTGAGACACGACATGGGCACACTCGAGACAGTGTGGGAAGAGAGTCGAGGTCGAGGTCGAGGTCGCGTACCTCTTCGCGCGGTGTGCTCAGCCGTTGTGGTCTGGAGGACTACTTCGTCCATACTTCTCTCTCTCATGTGTGTTGGGTGCGTGCCCGTCATGTTCGTCTGGTGGGCTGCTTCGGGGACCCCCATCATCATCATCATCATTGTCGTCATGCTCAGCGGATGGACTACGTGTCTGTACTGCCCGGCCCGTACTGTGAAGTGAAGAGTCGACGCATCGTCCGTACGGCCACAGTTAGTCAGTCAGCGGCATACGCCATAGACGTACGCCGGACACCCACGGTTGGGCTCGTGGGAAGAGAGGACGCGAGGTCGTGACGGAAGGGTCGGTTCAGAAGCTCGGGCCTCCTCTCTCTCCCACGGCCATTACAATCCCTGGGAAGGGTACGTACCGTCGAGCTCCAGACAGTGAAAGAGCTTGCATACAGGCGCATTCTGGCGGGCTTTCAGACACTGTGGTACCCACACCGCACAAAGTACGTGCAGCACGCAGTTTGCGCCCAGCCAGTGGACGGACCCTGTCAGGCGCAGGTGGCCCACCTGGTCCGCCAGGAAAGCCATTTTCGCCCTTCCCAGACTTATTAGTCCCCCATTAATCCTCCGCCATCCCATCTGCCACCTGCCACTCTTGCCGACATCCAGGTCCCAGCCAACCTTTCCCTTCTTCCCATCCACCACCGCCTCTCCCGCCGAACTCTCTCACCGACACACCACTCACCAACTCCCTACACACATACACACACACGCACATTGTTGCTTCACCCGCATTCCTCACCATCGCAGAGACAACAACAACCCTTACACATAATCCTCTGATCCAGACCCAAAGCCTGCGAGACCAATAGCCTGGCCCTTTAAACCCCTTCGCGCGCCCTACATACAGAGTCTCCCGGCGCATTCCAACCAAGATCCTTCCCTCTCTCCTCCTCCTGTCGCAGTCGCGCACAACCGCAGGAACACACTCCTTGCTGTCGCGAACCCGTCAGCCCATACACGCCGAGTCGCATCGACCAAGACCGCGACAAATACAAAAGCGCATACCTACCGCCCAACATGCTCATGCCCTCCGCCTTCTCGTGCGATACGTCGCAGCCGCCCCTCACCCGCCTCCAGGCCTCCTTGTTCGCATCGCCTCCCGCGAGCCCCCCAACCCTCTCGAACCCCGGCTTCGGGAACATCTTCGACACCTGCCGCTCTCTCCAGGCCCTTCTCTCGGCGCCCCAGCATTACCAGACCGCCGCCGCTCCCACCTACGACGCGCAGCAGTACTCGCTGCCCACGCCCGCCCAGCTCCCGACGCCGCCCCTCGCCCACGCGCCGTCTCCCCTCAAGCTCCGTCTGCGCTCGCGCGCGAGGCAAGATGGCGCCCTCGCCACCAGCGACCACCTTCCGCGCAAGCGCATCGCAAAGCGCGCACCGCCCCGCGGCGTGAACAAGCGGCGGCGCGCGGCCGACGATGACATGGCCCGGGGTGACACGGATGAGGACGTCGAGAGCGACCTCGAGATCTCGCCGCAGCGCCAGTCTTTCTCCGAAGACCAGAACCAAAACAACAACAACAACAACACCCACACACCCTCCGCGCCATCCACACCCAAGCGCGCGCGCATCGCGCCCGAGGTCATCCCCCTTGGCCTCGACCGCTCCGACTACCACACGCTACACCTCCTGAACGGCAGCGACCGGACGAACAGGAACGACACGGAGGAGGAGCAGGGCTCCAACGTGGAGGTTGAGGCCGACGGGGAGCGGTGGAGCGCCGAGGAGGACCGCATACTCGTGGAGCTCGTGCTCGAGAAGCTCAAGCTCAGCAAGACGGAGTGGCAGGACTGCGCACGCAGCCTGGGCAAGGACCGGAACTGTCTGTCGCGGCGGTGGAAGAGCCTCATGCTGCAAGGGGACGTCGGCCTCAAGGGCCGGAGGAGTAGCCGGAGGACCAAGCTCCACGGCACCTGGCGGTAGTCTGTTCGCCGCTGTTTGGTCAACCGTTTCTTCTCATTTTTCTTGGATTGGGATGCCGTATGTGGCTGGCGTTGGAAAGGGCCCGTTTCAAGGGCGGGAAGCCCGGATTTGGCTTATTGTTTGGGAACTACATATTTTTTTTTTTTTTTTTGGAGCGGTTTACAGCGCGACCCGCCTTGCGCGCTTGATCTCGAGCTGAAGTAGCTTTTGAGTTGGCGGTCATTATTTTATTTTTCTTTGTTCTAGTGTGTCACTCAGAATGAGCACCAGAAAGAGCTTCCAGTAGCTTGCGAGACACATACGTTTGAAATAGCCTCGCGACAGAGGCGCCGAATACAGACCACACACACTACAAACAACCCATCCATCCCACCCGTCCCGCGTGCCTGTGAGCAAACCCTCGCCGCATGCGGCCCGGGCATGACGACGCTGCTGCCCGTGATATCACCTCGCGCAGGGTTTGGGACATGCAGCGCCGTCGGTCTCGAGCCCGCATGCGCCCGTCCTGCCTGTCTGTCACGTACGTCCGTCCGTCTTGTCTGCCAGACAAAAACACGCATGCAGCAAAATGCAGGGCAGAGTTTCCAACGCAGAACTTTGACTCTATTTTCCCCCTTTCTCGTCTCCTCCCCCCACCAGCCGCCGCCGCCGCGCCTCCAGATCCCATCTGGGCGTTTCTTGCAAGCCAGCTACCGCGCGCCGCACCTGTCAAAGAGCCGTCAACCGCATTTCGCCCCTTCCCGCGGCGCCGTTTAAACGGCCGTGTGGCCGCTCAGACGGAAAAGGGGGGGGGGGGCCGAACGGGCGGCCACTACCTGCTTCAACTCACCCGTTCTTCGTCGTCGTCCCATCAGACGATGGCGCGCGCGACCGTCTCCTTCGACCCGTTCCCGCGCGGCGACGACGGATTGCCGTCGCACCAGTCCCCCGGGTCGCGCGACGTTCGGCCCCCGGCCACACCCAGCCTCCTCCCCCCCTCCCTCCCTCCCTCTTCTTCACGGTCTAGGTAGGTGATAGTGCACCAGTCTATCGCGATAGTCGCCCGGTAGCGAAATGGGTATGCCCGTCCCTGTCCGCGAGGGGACCTAAAAGTAGCAACGCGGCCCAGCCGCCCGTGGCCCGAGGGGGCTGGGCCTGGCTGGGGGAGAGGTATGCGGTTGGGGGCGCCGCTGCCGTCGAGGTAGTCTGCCCGTCCGGGCCACATGCGCTCGCTCACGTACGGATGCGGCGCCTCCAGGCGAAAGGCAGGGGAACCCCCCCCAACCTGCCAGCTCGGGTACGGGCAAACTCCTCTCCTCGCTGGCCCCCTTCTCGACGACGCGAACCAACACGTCTCAAGGTCTCTACCACAACAAGGACGAAAAACCCTTGGAACAACCAGGGGAAACGGGCAAACAAAGCTGGGAAGGGCGAGCCTTTGGCAGACCATCAAAACAAACCCAGACCGACCGCCCAGCCAACCGAGCCCCCGAGCAGCGCAGCACGGGACCATCGCGGGACGCAAGGGATGGCTGGGGGTACCTACTTGGGAGTTCGTCGATGGTTGGGAAAGCGGCGTGCTGAGACATTGTGGGGAGAGGAACAGGGGAGAAGGGGGGCGCGCGCAGGCTGGGACGAACTCGGGACCTGCAGCAGCTCTTTCGGGGGGGGAGGGACAAAACATCGTGAGGGGGACTGGCATGGAAACGCGCCGTGTGCTATGGTTTGGTAATGGGGGGGCGGGATAGCGATAGCGCCGAGACCCTGCCCTCGGCAGGCGGACGCTGGGCCTATCGGCTCGCTGATGTGCCTGGATTGAGGGGTGGTCCCTGGGGGGGCCCCTCGGCGTGAGCCGCCAGCTGCGCAAGCCAAACCCTGTCCTCTTTCAGACTTTCAGAGCCGACGTCCAGTCTGTGTGTGTATGTGTATGTGTAAGTGATCCGTAGATGCGTGTAATTGAGAGAGAGAGAGAGAGAGGGTATGTGTGTGGAAAACGCGAGCAAAAAAAGTGAGCCTGTGTCTCGCTCGCTCAAATCACATCAGCCCACCTCGCCGCCTTGGTTCCTCGCCGAGATCCGAACGGGCGCAACATTGCCATCTCGCGAGCCCGATCGCCGTCTTTCTTTTTTTCCCAGAATCCCATCTGGCCTCCAGCGCAGCTCGCCCGGCCACACCCCCCTCCTTCCACGAGATCTTCTGCCCCCCGTCTCTCGTCTGTTTTGCTAGGTGTCGCGCGGTCTACTGCGACGCGAACCAACTTCCTCAGCGAGCCCCAGCCGTTCATACACCCCCCTTCTTCCGTCTCGCGAATCTGGGGGATGAGGACGAGGAAGGGCCTGTGTCTCTCTCTCTATTTTTCTCTCCTGACAAAAGAAAGAACAAAACAAACAAGCCAAACGTCGGCGGTACTTCCAAAGAGGGGAGAGCCAATGACAACCTCGAGCCCTCTCGACCGATCCAGGCCCCCCCTCGCGGGCTTCCCATGCACAGCGACAGAAATCGCGTGTCTCGGCCATCCCTTGCGATCGTCGACCGCTGTCTGTGTCCAAGACACGCTCTGGGGGGAGGGGGGTCCAGGAACAGAACGGCAGTCATCGTCGCGCATCCCTGCCTTGCGACGCGCTGTCGACCCGTCATTTTGGATTCCCCTTGCTCACTAGTCGGTGTCATCGTCGCGTTGGGACGGCAGAAGGGGCAAGGGGCATGTGTAAACAACTGTCGCGTGTATGGCTTTCGCCGAACAACACCGGCTTCACGACATCCCCCCTTGGCTGCTCTCACCGAGGTGGAAGCTGGACACCATCGTCGTCCTGCCCATCCCTCCCGTCTTCATTGTCACGAGTCACGATCCGTGGTGCCAGGCACCGCGCGAGTGTCTCACTCGATCGAGATGGTCCTGGGTGAAGCGAGCGAAGCCGAGACCAATAACACGTCTCGCGTTCTGAAATTCAGGGGCTCTCAAAAGGGCCAAAGCTATGAGATGAGGTAACGATTGTCCCGAAACCACCAGGCCGAAGCATTCTCTGTTGCCATCCTAATTGCCGCGCGATGCTGAACCATCCTATTCCCATCATGAAGTCGTCATAGCAAGTCTCGCAGCCCAGTCCTGGCCTTCCTGGCTGCACTGCACGCATTCTCCGACATCCGAGGCCGGCTACGTCTAGTCGTCATCGCCGTATACCTCCTCGTACGTCTCCTCGTACTCTTCTCTGGCCTCCTCGAGGCGCTCGTGGTCGCTGCTGCTGGCGTCCGAGTCGGCGGCGGCAGCGAGAGCCTCCTCATACTCGGCCCTGGCATCCTGAACATCCTCGCGGTCGCTGGACGACACGGAGTCGCCGTCCGCGTCGGTGGCAGGGAGGACGGCCGGAGGCGCGTTGGAGTTGGCGTAGGGGTCGGCGTAGGGGTCCTGGTAGCCGCCGTACTGCGGCTGAGGGGCGGGCGCGGCGGCAGGTGCGGCGGCGGCCTTGCGCTCGTCATCCGAATCATCTATAGAGTCAAAGTTAATGAATGATCGCAATACAAAGTGGGAAGAATGGCAAAGTCGCAAGAATATCCTCGGTAGATGCACTTACCAAGAGCGTTGGCGATCAAGGCGCCACCAACAGCACCAACGGCGAGACCACCGGCGGCACCGAGGAGCATGCCGCTGCTGTTGCTCTTCTTCTCCTTGTCCTTCTCGCCGTAGGGGTTGGTACCGCCCTGCTGGCCGTAGGGAGCCTGGCCATAAGGAGCGGGTGCACCGCCATAGGCGGGCTGGCCGTAGGAGGGGGCACCATAGGGGGCAGCGCCGCCGTAAGAAGGAGCGGGAGAGCCGTAGCCGTGGCCCTGGTCGCCTCCGAAAGCTCTGGTGTCGGAGGAAGGGTGGGGAGGGACGGGAGGCGGGGCGTAGGAGGATCCGCCCTGGGGGCCGGTAGGAGGCGACGGGTGTTCCCACTGGGAACGGCCGGAGCTCTGGTCGACGTAGAACCAGCGGTTGTGGGTGGTGTCCCACTGGACGAGCCAGCCGCGCGAGACGGGAGGAGCGGCCATGGGGGGCGCGGCGGACTGGGGAGCTGGAGGCGGCGTCTGGGCGTAGCTGGGCTGGCTGCCGTACCCGTGATCCGGGCCGGACTGAGGCTGTGCCTGCGAGGGGTAGGGGTAGTTGGAGGGGGGAGCACCGCCGCCGTAGCCGCCGTACTGCTGCTGCTGCTGCTGCTGCGAGTGATCACCGTAGCCGCGTTCGCCTGCGAATAATGCGAGTCAGTAACTTTATCGTAACGACAGTGGTATTTCGGTTGAATCTGGCTAGTGTCGAAGCGGGAGGGGGAGGCATGGAGCGGTTCGGTTCACGTAGACAATAAATAAGGCAGGGTTACAAACGACCAGGTTGGAAGAATCGTAGATGAGTTGTGATGATTCAACAAAACGCAAGTGACATGTTCCTTCTTCCTCGTCCGTCTGGGCAACGTGGATTGATGTGCAGAGTCACTTACCGGTCTGGTGCTGCTGGTCGTCCTTCTTCTCGGCAGGCTTGTCGGCGGGCTTGTCGTCGGAGAAGGAGGTCTTGAGCTCCTCGAACTCCTTGGTGAGCTTCTTGAAGAAAGACATGGTGGCCCTTTCTTGTCGATGGGGTTACGCGTAGAGCAAGGTTGATGACTTGGTAGGGCGGATGGGGATATGTGAGATGGGTGGTGCAGAGACGGGGAGGACGGATGAGACGGCAGAGGCCGAGAAATATCGAGGGGCAACCTGGGAAAGCGCGGCGCTGCGTAAGCCCTTTTCTTTATTCTGGAGGGCGGTCAGGAAGCCGTGGCAGGAAAGGAAAAGAAAGGACGGAAATAGAAAGACCCTCTCGGTTGAGGAGGAGCTCTGGCGGGAGACGGGAGGGTTCCAAGCGAGGAAGCGGGATGGGGATGGGAGGGCCTGGTGAGATGGGCAGCTCGTTGGTCGACTGCGAGAAGCTACGGCAGGACTTCTGGGCCTCCAGGCTCTTGTACTGCGGAGGACAACGGGCTCCGCGGGTGGATCACTGGCAGCTTCGCAGTTAAATTCTGGGGTGCGAAGTGAAGCGTGCAGGCAGAGTGCAGCGCATGTGTTGTGCCTGCGTGTGAGGTGTGTGAGGGTGCCGATGGGCTCCCTCCCGGCGCATATTTGTCCACGGAGCCGAGCTTTGGAAGCCACCTGCCCAACCTCGAATTGGACCAGTCAGAGAAGGTACGGGGCGCGTGAGGTTGGATGAAAGCTGCCGCCGCACTCATCAGATAAGCTAAGGGTACCTGCTTCAGGAGTGAGGGGCCCTCTTCTGAGCTTAGACGTTGCCGTGTGAGGCAATCAACTAATCAACTGATACTCGCCCGAGCGACGGCGAGCACCAAACTCTCTCCATCACTTGTTCTCAAGGCATCCGGATGGATGCGAGTGGCCCCCTCTCCACTGAGGAATCGCCAGGCACCGTCGCCGGTGGCTACCTGTTACCGAACCATTTCCGTATTGCATATGGAGCAAAGGTAATTAGGTACGGTGGATGAGGTGCTCGGCGGGGAGGAAAACTACGGAGAAGATGTTAGTGCCAGGTGAGGCCATTGTACATACATAGTGCACTACACTACCTGGCGGCTGGCGGCCGATGATTGATTGGAGCCCTCCGGCAAGCCGTCAGACTGCAGACACCTGGTAGGGCAGGCGCCGGCAGGGGTCCAACGGTCTAAAACGGAGCAGGGGTTCAACATGGGGCTCAGCCGGCCCTTACCTTATCCTGAGGTCCTAGGTTGCATCTGTGTGTCTGTGTGTGTGTGTGTGAAGTGAGAGGAGCGGACGGCGGCACGGGGGGATGTCAAGTTCGAGACGTGCTTCACAATTTTGGGGGGGGGCCATTGGACGCGAGGTGGATGACAGCAGTTGCTTGGCCGTACCGGCGCTCCGCCCTGTCCGCCGCCGGCCACCCGTCTGGTTTTGGACAGGGTCAGTCCGTGCCGAATCCGGCTTAGCCATGACCTGAAGCTCCCTGAGAGCTTCCAGAAGCACCCCTGCTGAGTGAGTCTCTACCTTGTTACCTGTGGATGCTAACGATTTCGCAGCAAGGTTGGGTCTAACCGCCTCGGGAAGAGATATCTCAACCAGCAAAATTGCCGCCATGTCATGTCTTCATACCTTAATGCCACGTCCATGCACGCGAGAGTGTTCACTCACAACTATGCAGCTATGCCCGGGTGGCCTGACCTTCTGAATGACGACTGAAAAGAAAAGCCTCAATTGTCTCGCATCTCGCGTTGGGCAGACACAACCCATCATCCGTCGCCACTGCTCGGAGGCTGCATTGCCCTCCTTTATGTCTTCTATTGCTGCGCTGTGTGTGTTGTCCATATGACTGGACGTCGGCCAAGGATGGTCTCAGAAAAAGCAGCCTCCAAACCGTTCAACCGGGCTCGGCAACGGGTCCCAAGACCTCCTTAAACGGTCTGCCGAGCTGAGGAGCTTGCAGACAACCTAACGCTTTTCGACGTGGACGCGTACGCCTGCCAAGAGCGATCCTTGGGCTTGGCTGCGGTCCTCGATGCCGACATATCCACCACCACTGTCCACCAAGAAACCGACCACAGTACGTGAGTAATTGGAGTTTCCGTTCGATAGGGGTCGTGCACATGGGAAACTGCCAAGACAGCGTCCGGCTACCATGTACGGATACAGAACAATTAGTACAGAGCTATGTGAACAACCGCCCCCTGCTCCGCCCTACAGTGAGCATCGAACTTTGTGCAAGTCGCCGTGGCTCAATCCATGCGGTGCCCAGAAAATCTTACACCAGATATCACTGCCGAAAGCCCGGTATCCCGGCCGGACCCCATGTTTCCCTCCTGCTTCGCCCTGAGCCCTGCTTTCACTGGCCCCCTTCTGCTTGCGATTCTGAACTGACATTGGTCGAGGTGAGGTGACCGTTGGATATGCGCTGGGAACCCGTTTCGCCAACAGGCGATCCGCGGACCCGAAAGAGAGAACGAGAGGATGGGTGGGACCCTTTTTTCTACGTGAGATACGGATAGGCCGAACAGGAGCGACTCAGTGGAAGACCCTTGGGTCCGCCCCCCCAAAAAAAACAGAATCACCAAATGTGTGAGGCGTAGCGTCTTGGGCAAAGGTGGCTTACACGTAACGCGCGTGTACTTCTGACCCAATGTGGCCAGCGGCTCGCTGACGGAGGAGTAAGAGGAACCACCAGGCCGAATGGTGAAGGTGGTGTGGTAGTGCCTTGACTCTTGGGGTGCGATCCCGGCAACTTGCGACCCCGGGTAGTAGGTACTAACTAAACATGACCGTCCTTCTCCGTTGACCGAGGGAGACCTCACATCCACTACCACCCCAATTCATATTTCCTTCCCGCCCATCCTATCTTTTGTCCTTCCCACCCCCTGCCTGGAACTTGGAACTCGCACCTTTCCACCTCCTTCACTCCTTCCCAGCCCTTTTCGCGTCTTCCCTTCTCCTGCGCCATCTTCAACCGATACCAACTTTCGCTTTCTTCACGCGCATCTCATACACGACAGCTTCGCCTAATCACCAACGCCCTCATAACCCTCGGCCAACATGTCTGGATACCCTCCTCAGCAGCAGTAAGTCCTCACCGCGCGCCCATCTTCCAAAATCGTGAGATCGCGACGGCTGACAAGCACCACCTCCAGGCCCTACTACGGTGCTCCCCCTCCTCCTCAGGGTGGCTACCCTCCCCAGGGCTACCCTCCTCCCGGCCAGCAACCTGTAAGTCCATCCTCACTACTCGTCACAAGTAACCCCCGTGAACAACCGGCTGACAGTACGGCTAGATGTACTACCCTCCCCAGGGCCAGGCTCCCCCTCCCCAGGAGGAGAAGAAGGATGACAAGGGCTGCCTCTACGGCTGGTAAGAATCGCCGGCCCTCCCCGCCGCCAAGCAACACCGCCGACTGACCCAATCTCTAGCATCGCCACTCTCTGCTGCTGCTGGCTCTGCGGAGAGACCTGCGAGTGCTGCCTGGAGTGCCTGACCTGCTGCTTCTAATCGCCAAAGCAACAAGAAAGTTCCCGAGTGCGAAGACCAAACACAGAGATACCACCACCACCACCCCCGAACGCGATCACGGCCTCAGCTTTCTTCTGGTTTGGGAAAAAAAAACGGTACGATGGGATAGGCGGTTGGGGCTGCGACTCGGCGGGACGGGCAAACGCGGATCGGGGTCGAGGCACACGACGGCGACTTCTTCTGGTTTGCGAACCGCCCTCTCATTCCCGACTTTAAGGGTGATGCGGAAAGCATTGCCCTCTGCGCGCGCGCGCAAGTTTGTTCTTTGTGATGGGGGAGGACGGATGGCTACACGGCATTGGATCCTCCTCACGGCAGTTTTGACCACCCCCTTTTCATCGATTATTCACCCTCTTACGATTACCCACATGGCGATTGTGTCTCGCTCACTTTTCCTTGTTGTTAATTCCGGGACGGGACATCCACGGGCCTTTGTCTATTGGAGGAGAGACAGACACGCTTTGCAGTGGTCTTGTGCTCTAGGAGATAGAAACAGACGAAGAAACCGATCCCACCCAACTTGACCATTTCGTAAGCAGCTGTGATTGTGAGAGTGCGTGTCTGATTCAGTTTCAGTGTGTGTGTGTGTGTGTGTGTATTGTGCGTGTGTTTGCCGTATGGTTTGTATTGCCAAGTTTGTTTTACGCCCGTCAAACCACCCCCTGGACCTCCCTGTGTCACCACCGTACCTTCATCGGGGGGAAAGGGTATCAAAGACAGCCGAGTGTCGTGCTTTTCCCCCCTCCCACCAAGACATGACCCAAACCCATTAAAGAATACCCAAAGAAAAAAGACACCACCGAGTCGTCTGCCTGCGCTGCGGCTTCCCGCCGAGCTCGACGCTCTTACTTCTTGAGGTCTTTCGGGGCCATGAGCTGGACGAATTCCTGGTCTGTTGTTTTTTTTTGTCTCCCTGTCAGCCGCAAATCCTCCGAAAGTAAAGGTTGCTAAATATGGAACATTGAGTGGGGGCGGGGTTGGGAAGCGAAATGTAAATGGGGGCCGGGGAGGTGGTGCAGGGCGGACAGCTCCGGCGGGTTTGCGCGATGCGACCTGGACCTGCAGAGCGCATGTGCGGATTGCAGAAAGACTGGAAACTGGGGAAAGGGGGTTTGCTCACAGTCGATGGAACCGTTGCCGTCGAGGTCGGCGTGCCTGATCATCTCCTCAATCTCCTCATCGGTGGCGCGCTGGCCGAGGGACAGCAGCACCTGGCGCAGCTCCGAGGGCGAGACGGAGCCGCTGTTGTCCTTGTCAAAGACCTTGAAGGCGGCGACGAGCTCCTTGTTGGTGTCCGAGTCCTTGCTCGACGGCGCGGGGGCCTCGCTCATAAGCTGGAGGAATTCTAGGCAGCTTGTCAGCTCGCGGGTTGTTCAAGTCCGCAGTGGCGCTCAGGAACGCAATAACGGCCGAGATCGCGCTGCGCTAGGAGTGCCTGGCTGTTGGGTACTCACCGTTGAAATCAATGCCGCCGTCGTTGTTGGGGTCGACCTCGGCGATGAGCTCGTTGACCTCCTTGATGCTGGGGTTCAGGCCGAGCGACTTCATGGCGATCTGGAACTCCTCGGCGTTGATGGCACCTGGTGCCGCAAGTCAGCGATGTCAACGGGTATATGAGGTGTATGGGAGCTGTCGCGTGAGGGGCAGATGCGCGCGGATGCGGTCGAGGAGCAGGTGCAGGTGACGGGATTGAATAAAATAGTCAAGCTGAGCTGGGTTGGGCAACTCACCAGTGCCATCGCGGTCCTATTTCGTGGGCAAACCACAATTGTCAGTGAGAGGTTCATCCCAAAGAGCGATAACGCATGATAGTGCGATCGATGGGAGGGGCTCGGGGCGGGCTGGGCAGGGTTGTCGCGACTTACGAAGACGGAGAAGACTGCCTTGTAGTCATTGTACTGCTCCTCGGTGAGACCGTACGGAGGAGCCTTGCATGAAGTCAGCGTCTGGTGTCGATAGCAGAGCTATATCTGAGCCGCGAAGAGAGGAGGGGCAGCAGCTTCGTCGGCGTCGCAAGCGGAAACGAACCATTTTTTGAGTTTAGCGGGGTTGGAAAGCGAGCGAATGTTTCGTGGGTGCAATGAGGAGCGTGTGCGGACGGAGCTTGGATGAGCTACGGCTTCGGTCGGGCGGGCGGTCGCGGTCGTTCGTCTCGGTATTATCGCGTGCAACGGGGCCAGATGGATCGATCGTTTTGTTGAGGTGCGAAGAGTTGGAGGGGAAGGGGAAGAAGAGGGAAAAAAAACCATGTGGTGAGGAATGGCAGAGCGAGCCCCTCGTCTCTGTTTCTCGCCTGGCCTCAGCCTGATTGAATCACTGCCTCCTAGTGCCACCCTGTTGCTACCTCCCAGGTTGCTTGCCATGGTTTACAAAAAAAAAAAAAAAGGTACACATGGATGCCGATACCGAAAACGGCCCTTGCCTTTCGAGACTGAGCTGATGCTTGTTGCTCCGTCCCTAGCTAGCTTCGTATTACTCTATTTGAGTCACTGGCAGCAACAAACCCGGGTGCCTGGAGAGGACATAGCAAGCGACATCTCATACAAACATGTTTTGCATCAACAGCAGCGCGCTTCTGCTCATCCGTCAATCGTCGCCATCGCTCCCCCGTCCCTCACACACACATCAAAGGTACCACCAGTACCCTGTCCTACCCTACCTCACCCAGGTCACAGTGATCACCGCCGGCATGTGAGGAATGACGCCAGGCTGCCCTACGGCGCCGTTTAGCGCCTGTGTCGCCTGAGAGGGGCTTGGCGCCCGAGCCTGTTCCCGCCCGCGGGCCTGCGAGGCATACGCGGCCGCATCCACAACATCGAGCCGTTGCTTGAAACGGTTTAGGCTCGCGCCTGTCCGGTCCTCTGAACTGGAGCCCGGGCAGACACACACAGACAGGAGAAGGTGGCATGGCATGGCAGACACCGATGGGATCCCTCCGCCCTCCGCCCTCTCTTTCCCGTCTGCAGGCCTGGGCATTTTCGTCCCTTGTCTCCTGCTGTCCGCGGGAAGGGGAGGGAGGAAACTGACAGCCGAGCTGGTCTTGGCAACCCGAGGGGATGTTCACCAGCTATGGGCGAGTGTGCCTCATGCACCCGGCTGCTACACCTCTGCGTTCAATTGGACGTGGGCGCAGTGGACGCAGTGGACGCATATGTTGTTTGTGGCGATGATGGTGATTCAGGCTCACTTCGCCTTAATCTTAAAGTAGCCCAGTCTATCTCATGCCTGCATTTCAGCGTGGCTTGCTTGACATTTCCGCGTACTTTGTTGAACCCTGAGCTATGCCTTTGCACGTCCACGTCTTAAGACGTTGGCCATTGGAACTGACCGACAGTCCCAAGAACACCCAGCTCTTTCATGTCTCTTGGAGAGGCCACCAACTGCATGAGCCAACCAGCTTCTGGTATATTGCAGTTGGGTTGGTTTGTGGTAAAAACAGGTAGAAGCCTCCGCCAAACGAGCAAGCGTCCTTGTTGTCTTCAGAGGGTGGTGTGAATCTCGGGCTGAGCAGCTGCCCAAGCGCTACACAAAACGGCCCCCGTCAGGTGCAATTGCAACCGAGTGCAGCTCCTCCCCCTTGCAGCCCCTCCTCCAACCCCACCACTCCGACCTCAAGGCGTCTCATCCTGGGCTGCCTCTCTCGGGTTGCCCCTCCATCCATCCCATTCCACCCCGACGACCCCAAGTCCCTTCCCGGCGCAGGAAGCTACCCTACCTACCTGCCTTGCCGTTCTGTCCCGTACCCGTACCGCCCTACCAGCCAGAGGTATTCGTACCCAGCGAGGTATCCGTACACTGACCTGAAGAGACTCTCCACTGCGACCAACCGTTTCTCCAGGAGGGACGGATAGTCGCTCTCACATCTCACCCAACCCCACAGCGCCTCTCTCAACCCCCCCCTCGCATTCCATTCTTAACGACACCGTGATCTTCCGAGTCCGAACCCATTGAGGTTCCTTAGGCTCCTCCTCTCTGCAGAGCCCGGTTTCCAAATTGCTGCCTTTCGGGAAAGCCTTGTGAGCGAACCCGGCCACGTTTATTCACTCATAGTGGGTTTGGCCCTCACCCCGCCTTTTCCGGTTGCTGGCAACTCACTCACATCCGTCACAGGAAGCGTGTGTGTGTAAACAAAAACACATCTTGCACACCACACACCCCGTACATCACTCGCACAGCATCAATTGACTCCGGCAGGATGTCAGGTTACCCAGGACAGTACGGCTACGGCTCCGGTGGCCACGATGGAGGCTACGGCGGCGGCGGCGGCGGCGGCGGTGGCCACCACCACCAGGGAGGTTACGGCTCACACCACCAAGGAGGCGGAGGAGGCTACGGCGGGTACCAGCCGCCCCCGGCCCGCCTCCCTCGCAACAATACGGAGGCTACGGCGGCGGCTACAACCAGCCGCCTCCGGGCCCCCCTCCGAGCCACGGTGGCTACGGCTACAACCAGCCGCCGCCCAACCCGAACCCGGACCAGAGCTACATCGGCAGGTATGCCCCCCCTCCTCACCCGCCGCCCCCCGGCCTTGACGTCTACGGCTACCCTGTCAATTCCGGACACCAGGGAAGACCCAGTAAGTACCGCCGCCTCCCGCCTCACCTCTTGCCGGTACTGACTCAACCCCCGAGATATGCCCACGGTGAACTCCAACGATTGGGCCCACGGCAACCGCAACGCGCCGCCTCCCCCGCCCTCCGGCGCCCAGCAGTTCGGTCACGGCGCCCCCGAGGGATACAGCTTCCAGTACTCCACCTGTCAGGGCAAACGCAAGGCCCTGCTCATCGGCATCAACTACTTTGGCCAGTCCGGCGAGCTCCGCGGCTGCATCAACGACGTCAAGAACCTCTCCGCCTTCCTCGTCGAAAAGTACGGCTACAAGCGCGAGGACATGGTCATCCTCACCGACGACCAGCAGCAGCCCATGGGCCAGCCGACCAAGAACAACATCCTCCGCGCCATGCACTGGCTCGTCCAGGGCGCCCAGCCCAACGACTCGCTCTTCTTCCACTACTCGGGCCATGGCGGCCAGACCGAGGACATTGACGGCGACGAGGACGACGGCTACGACGAGGTCATCTACCCCGTCGACTTCAAGGAGGCCGGCCACATCGTCGACGACGAGATGCACCACGTCATGGTCAAGCCTCTGCAGCCCGGTGTGCGGCTGACGGCCATCTTCGACTCGTGCCACTCGGGCTCCGCCCTCGACCTGCCCTACATCTACTCCACAAAGGGCGTCCTCAAGGAGCCTAACCTGGCCAAGGAGGCCGGCCAGGGCCTGCTCAACGCCTTCACGGCCTACGCCTCGGGCGACCTCGGCGCCGTCGCGAGCTCCATCTTCAGCTTCGGCAAGCGCGCCATCGCTGGCGACGGCGCCTACGAGAAGACCAAGGAGACCCGCACCTCGCCCGCCGACGTCATCATGTGGTCCGGCAGCAAGGACAGTCAGACATCGTGAGTGGCGAATCGCGCCCTCCCCCCCTCCCCGCCAGCGCAAATGGCGCGCGAGACAAGCTGACCAAGAGAACCTGCAGGGCCGACGCCACCATCGCCAACCAGGCCACGGGCGCCATGTCCTACGCCTTCATCACCGCCCTCAAGAACAAGCCCCAGCAGAGCTACGTCGAGCTCCTCAACAGCATCCGCGAGGTGCTGGAGGAGAAGTACACCCAGCTGCCCCAGCTCTCGAGCAGCCACCCGATCGGTAAGTCGTCGCTCGTCCACTGGCCTCGCTCGGCCGTGCTCACTCTTTTTGCAGACACGGATCTTCTCTATGTGATGTAAGCTCGCCCGGCTACGACGGGACTCTGCTCGTAGACCAGCGTCGAAGCGTCGACAGGGGACATGCGGAATGGGAAGGGACTTTTTGGTTGTTTTATTTAACTTGTTTCAAGCGCAGCAATGAGAAGACTCACTGAATGAATCCGAGTTTTGGAAAAACGTGTGCCATTTCTGTCTCAAATCGCCTGGGTATCTATCTGTGCCTGCCTAGCTGTCAACGCCAATCCGCCGCCTTGCTCTGCGAGAAACGCCTTTGCCTGAAATCCAACCCTCAACGCAACCAAAAAACACGCTCCCAAAGTGCTGCAAACCCAAACTCAAGTCGCGCTCGCCATATCCAACTTGATGGACCAAAGCTCAAAGAAGCCGATCAAAACCCCCTAATCCTCACCAAAGGGGTCGTCGTCGAGGAGGTCAAAAACCGGCGGGCCCCTTTTCTTCTCGGTCGCGCCGAGCGGAGGACTGTCGCCGCAGAGGTCGATGACGCCGTCGTCGCCGTCCATCTTCCTCTTGGTTCCGGCCGAGGCGGGAATCCGGGTGGTTCCCGGCCTCACGTTGGGCGACCTCGCGGCCAGAGCTCCCGGGGCCGCGTTCGCTCTACCGGGCGCTCCGGTTCCCAAAGAAGGCGTCCCCCCTACTCTGGAAAGCCCCAGGTTCTCCTTGCCTTGCGCGAGGCTGCCGAATCTCGACTTGCCGGAAGATGTTCCTGAGCCTACGACATTGCCGGAGACGGAACGCACTTCCCAGGTCGAGCCGGTACGCCGCTTCTTCGCACGCTCCGCGCTCAGAACGGCCGCCATGTAGTCCGGTTCGGCGCTGGCGGTGGCCGGTGAAGGACTGCTCGACGGGCTTTTACCCCTGACTCCGACGCCTAGGCCTCGGCTCGAGGCACCCGTCAGAGAGCTTGGGCGCGGTGTTGTGCCATTCGGAGAGCCGGCCACGGCATCTGGCCGTCGCGTGCCAGATCCACCAATGGCACTCTTGCGAATCGGCGGCGGCGGCGGCGCGCTCCTTGGCAAGCCGGATCTCCCGAGAGTAGAAGATACAGGCCCGTCGATTCTTCGTGCCCCAGATGAAGTCGCCGACTCCGTTCTCTTCGTAGAGGTTGTCGCGGTTGACGAATGGCCCAACGCTGCCTTGCTACTGCTTCCAGGCGTTTCTTTCGGTGTCCGATCCTTATTAAGAGCCGCTCGAAGTCGCTCTGCCGATACATCGTCGTACTTGGGTGTGGAATTCCGCGTGATCTTGCTCAATGACTTGAGGCGATCTCTTGTCGAAATGCTGCCAGTCTTGGGGAGACCTTGGGTGCTTCCTGAAGTGGGTTTCTCCTTTTTGACCGCGGCGCCGAACATCTCTCGAACATCTTTATGACCCGAGCGTCCCGTCAAGTCAGAACCTGAAGAAGGCTCTGCCTTGACGGTGCCCAGGCTGCCGTGGCTCTCAAGTTTGGGCGTTGCTTCGTCACGTCTTGTTTCTGTGTTCGGTCGTGCTTCGCTTTTGGTTTGGGATTGTTGGAGATCCATTCGAGGCGTCTCTGCGGGGCCCGGAGAAGTATCGGACGTAAAGGACGAGCTTGTTCTCGACAGCCTAGCAGCGCTGGCGGACGGTGAATCCGAGGATCTGACAGGCGTGTTTTTGGGCGCCTCTTGAGACTCTGCGTTCCCGAGCCTCCACATAATCTCTCCCTTGTCTTCGAGGAAAGGCAACAATCTGTCTGGGTCGAACTGTTGCACAGTCTTCATCGCCTCCTGTCGTCGCAACTCTCCAACCGTACGCAGGTTCTCATTGACTAGAGAGGTCTTGGTTAGCTGCATTGTCAAGCTTGCCTCGTTCTTGCCATAGACGACTGTCTTGATGGGCTTTCCTTGCTGACGAAGCTGGGTTTCGATGTGATCTACTATAGCCCTTGGGCGCACGAGATGAAGAGTCTTCCAACTAGGCTGTTCGAAATAAGGGTCGAGCGTTTGGCAATGACTGCAACACGCAGCCATGTGCGGTATACAGTCTGGATCTTGTTCGAGTCGGCCAGAAACATCTTCAAAAACAGCCTCATCGTACCGTTCGAAGATGGCTTGAAACAAACGCCGGAACGCCGGATTCTCAGGATCAGCCAGGTCTTGAAGTGTCATCAGTAATGGCAGCCAGAGTGGTGCCATATGAATGGGCTCGATTTCGGCGACGTGTTTGACAATGTGGTCTGCCAGGTTGGTTACTTGATCATGCATGCCGAGCCGGTCAAGGTTCCTGAAGAGGCCAGCAATCACAGTGTGACTGGTTGGAAGAGGCTCCGACTTATCGTGGAGAAGCTCTTGCGCTGGCTCAGCAATGCACCAAGCCTGCCGAGCCGTCTTCGCTTCGGCGCTCTGGTCTTTCGTGGCGTTGCTGACCAGACGATGAACCTGCCAGAGCGTGTGCGATGAGTCCATCATTTCTGCGTATTGTTGATAGAAAGCCGTCACTTCGTCAACAGGAAGCTTGTCTTTTTTCGCCACCTCGAGAAGCCTGTTGAGCAATCCAAGCATAAACTGGTTGTGCCGATTAAGTTGCCGAGGCTCGCTGGCAATCGCTGAATTTACACTGTAATCCATTAGCACGCCTATGTGATCGGAAACCTGGCGAAACACTTACATATCGCTCCAAGTCGCAAAATCCTTGAACAGCTTTAGAAAGTTGACCACAACCCGACCGTGACTTGCTGATACGGGGTGTTCGAGTGTGTCAAGGGTGTCTTTCACGAGTTCCGAGACGTTTTTGGTTGTGTCGTTATTGTCGGAATACGCAGGCAGCTTGTCGATAATGCTTGCTATTTGCAAAAAGTTCTTGCGTTTGAACAAGAAACGACGGAGTCTGATGGGCGTCAGTCATGTCTGTTGAAGAGGGGTTCTGAACTCACCCATAGAGCACGTCGGCAGCGGAATGGCCATAGACGCTAGCCTTCTCACACACCCAAGTGTAGTCGATACGTGGCTCAATTTGAGTCTGAGCAATGAGGTTGCTGCAAAGCTGACTGTCCTTGACAACTAGCAAAGCTATGATCAGTTCGCCCATGATACTAGAGTCGATAGCGTCGATCCACTCCTGACGGTTTCGAACTGTCATCCCGAGGACGCGGGTCTCTGTGGGTATGTCGTCTCCTTTGGGCCACACAAAGTTACACAGAGTTTGCACGGCATCGAAGTAAGCTGCTGAATCCGAAGATTGATTGCACTGCGTCAGGAGGTACCGCCAGATGTGAGAAACAGGCTTTGGTTGCTCAGCGATATTGATGAACTCTAGCTGTGTGGAGAGAGGTACGAGGATTATGGCCTAAAAGAGAATCAGGCACAATGCACAAGGATGGTGAAGACAGGCATCAAATGAGACTGACCGGTGCATAATAACACCCAAGCTCACCGCTCGTGCCCGGGATGATATTCTGATACCACTTGGGATTCGACTCGCGAACTCTGCGCTCTTCTTCGAATTGCCGCTGCTCTTCTGGTGATTGCCAGAAGAACAAAGTGCGGCGAGCCCTTTCCCAAGCGACATTCCTTTCGTCGAGAACGTTACCCTCGGGGCAACTTACATTTTCCGCGAGCGTGGGACCCGTGAAGCTGTTGAACTGAAAGATACTCGGCGAGTGCTTGACATGTTGGTATGGCTTCCAGAAACCGTTGTCTCCGGCCGAGGCAGGCTCAACATGGCCGTTCGCTTGCTGGACCCAAGCATTGTACTGGCAAGTCGTTCCTGTGTATTTCAGGATGACAGGAAAGACTTCGAAGCCCGATTTGGGGCATAGGGAGCGAAGACGAGTGATGAGCGCAGAATCGCTGGCAGACATGTTCTGTCCCGTGACCCAGCTTTCAAAGTCCCGAGAGTTGCTTGGCGGATGGAAGTGATAGACGGCGGTCTGGCTATGTAGCGACCGATCCTCAATTCTCGACTCCCAGTGCTTCAAGCACTTGGCCAGGCAAGCACAGGCGGCTTCCAGCGGCGATTCAGGGGTCGAGCAAGGCGGTGCAAGGGCAGCATCGTGGTTCGTCGCGACAGCATGAGGTCCTGTGTCAGGCTTGGGCGCATTGTGGTAAGCGGGCGCGTCGGACCCACCAGCCGCGTAAATGGCTTCGATGGCGGCGTAAAGTGCATTTCGCAGCGCGTCGCTCAGCGGCGCGGCGATTCCGTGCAAGACGCCGGGCCGCTTGCAGCGATCTGGCTCCGGGTCCGACATGCTTTCATCTCATCTGGTGAATGAGCCGAGGATGGAATATTCGCCTCAGACTGGCGACCTCGCAAGACCGTGGCGCGTAAGGAGATTTGGGATTGCTTGTTGGAAGTAGAAGAAACGAGCATCAACGTGACCGTGGGGTAGCAGTGATTAATCCAGTAATTATCTGAGCTGGCAGGGGGTAGCTACCAGTGCTGAGACACAGACGCTTGCCCCGCGGGCAGCCCCACTCTAGCCGGCACTGAACTCGATCGGATGTAACCTCCCAAGCGGGAGAGTCCCATACTTGAATTCTCTATGACAAGCTTGGAAGATCTGAGTGTTGGTGGAAAGAAAAGACCTAACTATTGTGCTGGAAACTGGGTTGTGGTAGTCAGATTTATATATCAAGCTCCATGGGAAGGGAAGGGAGAGATTTCTGGGAGAGGAAAGAGCAGTTCCCTTGTCAGTTGCTTTTCGTTCATGCCATGGACCGAGATTCTTCTCGAAAGCACTTCTCATTTCCCTCTTTCAACACTCAGGGTGCTGCTCCTTTTCCTTTAACACATAGCTCACTGCATATACTTGGATTTTGGGTCTTCTGGCGTCTATCTGCGCCTGAGTCTGCTTAACGGTACCCTCCGCTTAGTGCCTCATCCAGTGTTCTCATCACACTTCGATCACCTTGAGAAAAAGCGCCTCGACCTTCAAGATGCACCTCGTCCTTAACACTGACACTGACACCAGACATTGGGAAATCTTTGAATAGCCATAAATTCTCAGATTCCGTTCAAGCGAGTCCCAGTTTTTCGTGAATCTTGGAAATGTCCCGGCGCATGATAATAAGCTCTTTCCCGGCGTCAAAAGGCCATCTTGCTATCCTCACCTTCAGCGAAACCTGCGGCCGCTCAGCACGCAACGGAGAAGAGGACGGCATCGAGATGTTGCAGGCTCCCAGATAAGAACGAAATACAGTCTTGCCATGCATTAGTGGTCAACGCGATGGGCCGAGTGTCAATGGTGGCGAGACGAGTCAGGCATCACATCCCGCCCGTCGAGTGGGTCTAGAGGGATGCACAGTGGCAAGGCGCGTGCGATAATACGGATATTCCCGAGTCGTTCGTCTCAACTTAGGGCCATGATCCCAAGAGGCACCGAAGGACCAAAATCGCACGCGGCGGCAAAGAGGAACTGCATCAATCAAGCATATCGACTGGCCGCGTGAACATTCAACCTCGTTCCATTCAGATATCAAAGGCCCTGTTACCCAGGCTTCTCCACGCCCAACTGGAAAACAGCCAAATACCCCAAACGATGGCCAGCGACGCGAGCGCCAGCACCACGAGAACGTGTCCCCTCATCTGGAACGCGTCGTCGACCTCCATACGCATCAGCTTCTTCTGCTTGCTGTGATAGTACCACTCCTCCTGCTCGCCCTTGGGCCTCGGACCCTTTGGCTCTCTGACCTGCACGTAATGATACGGAGAGCTTCGGTACACAACGTTGTGCAGCCATGAGGGCATCCAGCCTCCTTGGCTGTGGTTTCTTGATCTCTTGATGGTGTACCTAATATCAACCCACACCAGGGACAGCAGGAACGAGACGAAGATGACGGGTGTCACGAGACTCTGTGGGTGCATGTGAGCTTACGTGCTAGATGCAGCAGGACAGCGCCTGGAAGCTGGGCATCGAGGCGATGCCATTTGAAGCACTAGATGAACCTCGACAGATTGGTGCTGACCTTGTAAATCGTCGACTGCTTGATCGTTCCGACGTCACTGCCGCCCCGCGTGGCAGTGGTTTTGGTGGCTGTCGTTGATGACGACATTGTCCCGCTGGTCGAAGCGCTTCGGTATACACGGACGATGGAGATCCAATTGAGTTTTCAATGGTAGGCGGGGTTCCTGGGCGTTGCCAACGGCTTTCACTGCGTGGCGGGTGAGGTGACCAATATCTTGGGAAAGGGAGACTTCGGTGATGACGGCGTGCGGAGGTGAAATACAGGTTAAATATTTCGTCAGTCCGTCGATCGCGTCGGGGGGTTCGGTGCGGCCTGGGACCACCGGCCGCGCTGCTCTTGGTGCCACCACCTCGGTTTCGTTCGTTCCCTTCAGCCCTTGTTCCACGCGCGCGCACTGCGGACGGGATACGGGAGTGACGGAGGTGCCCCACTTGGCGCCCCTTGGAGATCAGCAGGAGACGTCCAATTGACATTGGGCTCAATATAACCAGAAACGCTGTCAATGCCCCCAAACACACGCCATCAAACTGCGGCCGCCCAAAGCTTCGATGGGACGGACGATTCGTTCCCGCGGGATGCGAGCAACGAGCTTGCTGATCAGGGGTGCCCAGTACGTGGCCTCGCAGTCTGCCCTGGAGGGTCCATTATCAGGGCTGGTGTGGCCGAGTAGGTGCAGAGCCTCGAAATGCTACGCTAGCGACGCAAGCGATGCCTACGCTCGATGCACACCTCGCCATTCACAGCCACAACTGCGACGATTGCGTCGTGGACCCTCGAGCGTGTCACCCAGCTTCAGCCTCACTTTTCTTTCCCCCCTTCTTCACTCCTCGAGACTCATTCCAAAAAAACGGACGTGTCCGACCTCGTCTCAGGCGCATTACATATTTCGTGGTCTTCGTCTCTATTTTTTCTTCTTCACATACGGCAAAATCTATCGAGTGTTGTGGATATCGAGCACCAAAATGTCCTGAGCGCCCACGCGGGTCAGGTTGTCCATCACGAGAGCAATCTTCTTCTTCTCGACCATGGAGCTGACAGCGACCCAGCCCTCCTCATCCAACGTTGTGATGGTCGGCGCCCGCTTGCCGGGGGTGATGGCCTTGGCATCAGCCAGGCGGGATCTCTCGATGTTGTACTGGCACAGGACGAACCTCTGAGCTGTGATGACACCGCGGATACGAGCGGCGATGAGCTCGACCAGCTCCGTGTTCGACGGCGAGCGGGACTTGATGAGGCAGGCCTGGGAGTCCACGACGGTGTCGATGGCCTTCAGGCCGGCGGCTCTCATCGTCTCTCCAGACTCTGGGCATCCATATTAGTGCATGGTCAAGTTTGAGTCAATTCGAGGTAACTTACCAACAAGGTCGACAATGCCATCGGCGACGCCCAGCGCGCAAGCGGCTTCGACACTGCCGCTGAGCTCGATGATCTTGGTGCGGAGCTTCTTGGGCGAGGTGTTGCTGTTGCCGTCGGAGTCGATGCCCAGCTCCAGCTTGGCAAAGTGCTCCGCAGCCAGGTTCACGAAACTGGTGCCAATGGTCTTGCCAATCAAGTCCTCCGTTGTCGCGTACGCGCCCTTCTCGGGCACCTGGGTCTGCAGCTTGCAGTGGCCGAAACCGAGCTCCATGACCATCTCGCAGCCGCCGACCTTCTGGATCTCGGCGCCGTCGCCGCTCAGCTCGACAGAGGCCCTCCGGGCCTTGTTGCTGGCGATGACTCCGGCATCGTGCTCCTGGACCTGGTCCCAGCCCGTGATTCCGAGGTCGACGCGGCCCTCGCCGACAAAGGTAGGGATGTCGGCAGCGGGGAGGAAGATGAGGGCGATGGGGAGGTTCTTGACAAGGGCGATGTCGAGGCGGTTCTCGCGGCGGAACTGGATGTCGGCTCCCTCAAGCAGGTTGAGCGTGGCGGAGTTCAGGCGGCCCTCTGCGAAAAAAGAGGCATTGTCAGTTTAGGGCCTCTGGGCAATGTGCTCTTTGGGGGGGGGGGGGGGGGGGGGGGGGGGGGGGGGCGCCTGGAGGGGTTGACTCACTCTTGGGCACGGCGAACAGAAGCCTGCCCTCTAGGCTTTGCGTCGTCGTTAGCTTCTCCTTGAACTGGCTCATGGCGGTCTAGATGGAGGGGTAAAAACCAACTGGTTCACCAGATCCATGGTAGGCAAAGGTAGGGTATGGCGAGGTCGCGGGAGGCGGATTAGGTGATCGGTAGGCGGAGAGAAGGGACCCGTGATTCGAAACGGGATTTCAGGTTGGGTGGGAACGTCGGGCGCGTAGGGATGGAGCACAACGTCGCAGTGAAGCCAATGGTGACGAGATTTCTGCGGCGAAAGCGGCGAGGGGTCTGTGATAGGTCGCACAATGCAGTTCCCAGCGCAGAGGTTTGGGGAGAGGGAAGCGAGAGTGATTCCGAGTCAATTGGTCTGCCTCGGGGACGGCAGATGGTTTTAGGGCGGAAAAGTCGTCAGGTCTGCGCGACTTTCGTTTCCTGGTTCGTGTCTGCGCGGAAGCTGTCCGTGGGGGCTTTCTCGGTTCTGTCTGCGGGTGAGTCAAAAGCCGGGCCAAGAAGAGAGAGGACGGAAATTTTGTGGTGTGGGTTGGCCCGGTTCTAGTGTGCAGCAGACTAGTCGTCACCGCGGGCCATGCCACCACGTTGGCCTATGTCGGAGCTGCGACTGGACCGCAGCGACCGTGAGAGAGCAGCGCGCACGCATACTGGGATGGCGGGGCACGCCGTTGAACGCGGGGCAGTCCTTGGGCTGAGCGACGGCAGATGCCGGAGGGGCAGGGCGGCATCCGACCCCGAAGAGGTGCTGACGCGCGACTGTGCGGCATTGCCTGATTCGTAGGGGAACCCACAGCGGGCCACCATGCCATACAGATCTCACAGATGGGAATATGAGATTGCCCATGTTCAACCGATGGAGGTCTGGTGTCTTTAAAGACACCATGTACTCAGGATGGGAGGTGCGTCGTGTGTCTCGGTCACTGAGGCACGAGAACACCCCAATCGGTCATTGCTTCGGTTAATCTTCAACAACCGGGCGCACTCTCGGGTACGCAGTACTACTAGATGTCGCGTATTCCAGCTTGCCCGGGTTCTGCAGGGGTTCGTGATTGACAATGTGCCGGCGTCTTCAGAGAAAATCACGGAAAGGAGCATCGCCCTTTCGGTTTCAATGTTATGTGTTATTTCGGAAGCGTGTCGTAATTTCCCGCACGCTGCCAGCAGCTCGGTATCTCGACACAATCCAATCCGACTGACGATAGTAGTCCGGGCCAAGCGTCTCTTCCTTGCGACAGTACAAGCAGCACGCAACAGTCCTTCTCTAATCTTGTCACGCCATGCAAACAAGCCGTGGGCCAGCTCTCTTACACAACATTGTCCACTCGTAGTTCCCATCATCCAACCTTGCCCATGCTGTCCGTCGAGTCGACCATGACAGGTCCAGGAAAAATCAGGTTGGATACTCGCCTCAGTGAGATGCGTTGTTACATAGTATCAGTGTGCCAATCAAGCAGACACTCGACCCTGTCGATTGGACGTTCTCCCGCTGGGCTGGAGTGTCACATTCAAACTTCGGAACCCACTGCTCTCCCTCGTTCATCCCCGATGGCCAGAGCTTCCGCCCGCACAGAAGCCTCCGGATATTCTTTCACCAGCCTTCCATTCCAACCGGCGAGCACCTCCCAAACCCTGGAATGTCTTGCAGAAAAGGAAGGGGGAAAAGGCTACAGTTGCGAAGCAGGGCAAACTAAGTTACTATTTGCATGTGCCACGCGCAGCCGTAGCTTTTAGGTGACACCACATTGTCACAAGTCACCCCATGGCCATACTTCTCCCTCGCATCATTTGCAGATTGACTCCCCTCCATCTTATCCACGGATACTGTTTCTTGTACATATTCTTCCCCCAAACGAGCCACACGTCCTGTCCTGGCTTCCTTCCGCCATGTCCAGCCTGCTCCCTGTTCTTGCTTCTATTCTTATACACGCTGCAGTGCTTATCGCCCCCTTGCGTCCACTCCTGTTCCTAATAGTTACTTTATCATAAGCCCCCAGAGCTCTGCGCAATCACACGCCGGCTTTCTTGTCCGACCAAAATCTACCAATCTCGTGTCGCATCGCTCCCTTCCCCGGCCTGATTGACCGTCTCCCCCGGAAATCCAACTCCAGGTGCACCGCAGCTCGGCAAGCAGTAGCTTTCCCGCCCCCTCGGCCTGCTCGCTGCACCTGGCTGGCCGGTCTGGCACTGCACTGCCTGCACCAGTGAACCAATTGTGGGCATGACGCGCACCCAGTCTCGAGCAGATCCGCAGCCGCCGCGACGCCCGAATTACTTTAAACTCGAATCCTGGTCCACATAACCATCGCACCCCTGTTCCCCCCTACCTACGCCCACCCTGTCTCTTGACAGCTTGCGTAGCCCAGGGTGGCCCTTCAAATGGCCCAGACGTCGAGCTCATCGACGTCGCAAGATTCCTCTCACTCTCCTCCTCCTCCTCACCACTACCCTACGTTCTCTTCTCTTGACGACGACGACAACTCGGGTGGGAAATCGACCCCGATTAGGACGCCCTCGAGATCCTTCAGCAGCAGCAGTACCGAAGTAGATGACGTCGGCCCTGCGCCTGTCATCGCGATCCGCAAACCACCCCAAGCGCATCGAGAAGGGGACACGAAACCCTCCGGTCCCCACGACTTTGCCGGCCGCCGAAGGGGCGATTTCAACTACGACAATACCGACGATACCGACGACGACTACGACCACGCAGAGCACGACGCCCTTGTGCTAGAAGAGGATCCTGCCGCCGGGATGTCGAGCTGGGCGGGCCAGCCCTCCATCAGGGGGAGCTCGGAGGCCATGCGAATGATTCTCTTGACCTTCAACACCCTTGGTATCACGTATGTGGGATTTTCTTGCGCAGCGCTGGGTATATAATACTGACGTTTCCTGAACGACAGCTTCACATGGGGAATTGAGATGACATGTACGTAGCCCGCTACGCCAACCGTCACCTACTCCCTCATACTGACATGCCCCGGCAACTAGACTGTACTCCCTACCTCCTCAACCTCGGCCTTACGAAGAGCAACACCTCGCTAGTGTGGATCGCCGGACCGCTGTCTGGATTGATGGTGCAGCCCATCGTCGGCGCGATCGCCGACGAGTCCAAGTCGAAATGGGGCAGGCGGCGGCCGTTCATCGTCATCGGTTCCATCATCGTCGCCTTCAGTCTGTTGACGCTGGGGTTCACCAAAGAGATTGTGGAATTCTTCATATCCGACAAGGAGACGGCCCGGGTCTTCACCATTGTCCTCGCGGTCTTGGCGATCTACGCCGTGGATTTTGCAATCAACGCTGGTGAGTTGGGGTTGTAGAACCCGTCGTAGCGTTTTTGTGGCTTACTCGATCCAGTCATGTCCTGCGCAAGGAGTTTGATCGTCGACACGCTGCCGATCGAGAAACAGCAGACCGGTGCTGCGTGGTGTAAGTGAATTCCGGACCCGTCTCCGGGTTGCATCGCTAATCCCCACAAAGCTAGCAGGATGTCCGCCATTGGACACATGCTGGGCTACGGAGCCGGCGCCATCGACCTCGTCGGTATCTTTGGCACGAGCCTGGGCGACTCGCAGTTCAAGCAGCTCACCCTGATCGCGACGTTCCTGATGGTCTTTTCGTCAGGCGTCACCTGCTGGGCCGTCAACGAGCGGGTCCTGGTGTCAACGAGGTACGACCCACGCAAGGCCACCGGGCGGTTTAAGGTGGTCCGGCAGATCTGGTCGACGCTGCTCCATCTCCCCCCTCGGATCCAGGCCATCTGCTGGGCCCAGTTCTGGTCCTGGATCGGCTGGTTCCCGTTCCTGTTCTACAGCACCACGTGGGTTGGCGAGACCTACTTCCGCTACGATGCCCCCTCGGAGGGAAAAGACTCCAAGGACGCCCTCGGAGACATTGGCCGCATCGGCAGTTTGGCGCTGGTTATATACTCAACCATCACCCTCCTCGGCGCCTGGATCCTCCCCCTGGTCGTGAAATCCCCAGACGACAACAACTTCACGGCGCGGCCGCCCCAGGCCATGGCGCCGTATCTGGACAAGTTCAACAAGAACAAACCGGACCTGATGACGGCCTGGATCTGCGGCCACCTCATGTTCGCCGCCGCCATGTTCCTGGCCCCCTTTGCCCAGAGCTTCCGCTTCGCGACCTTCCTCGTCGCCTTCTGCGGCCTGTCCTGGACCATCGCCATGTGGGCGCCGACGACCTTCCTCGGCATCGAGGTCAACAAGCTCAGCGGGGCCCGCGAAGGCGGCGCGCCGTCGTACCGCCGCCTCTCCAATGACTCCAACATTGAGCTCCCGACGCGGGGCCAGGACCAGCCGCTGCACCTCGAGCACGGGCCGGACGAGGGGGGCCAGCAGGCGACGTCGTCCACGGGCGAGCTGTCGGGCATCTACTTTGGCATCCTCAACATCTACACCACGCTGCCGCAGTTCATCGGCACATTCATCAGCACCGTCGTCTTCACCATCCTGGAGCCCGGCAAGAGCCCCGAGCTCTCGGACGCGCCGGAGCACGAGCACCACAGCACCGACGGCCCCAACGCCATCGCCGTGTGCCTCTTCATCGGCGCCGTGTGCGCCGTGGTGGCGGCGTTTGCGACGCGGAAGCTAAAGTACTTGTGACCTGGTTCGGAGGCAGGAGCTAAGCGAGGGTGACACTTGTTGTTGTACGAGTAGTGTGGGCATAAAACGGCGTTTTCGGCAGAGGACTTGGACTTTTCCTCGACATCTCATGTTAGCGACAAGGAGCCGCCGACACGGTCTATACTGCGGTTAGGAGTTGGTAAAGGAAATGCTACGAGGCTGCGTGTGTCCGCGGCCGGCTTCTGCTACATGCGGCAGCCATTTTTTGTTGTTTGTATACATCACCGTTCTCCTCAAGGAATCCGTCGTCCAGAACCAGTGCGTGTAAATCAATGTCTTTGTGTGAATGTTTGTACGTGGAGCTGCTCACACCGAAGCATGCTGCCGAGGCCTTATGTACAAGTAAGTCCGCTTTCATTGCCGCCAAGCCGTCCCTGCAGTCGCGCATGTGCCGGCGCTTGCCCAAGGGTATCTCGAATATCTCATCGCGCACATTGGCCCCCCCCCGGCCTCTGCCGACTACATTCCCCATAGCACATGGCGGGTGGTTCTGCATCGCTCGAGAGGCGGTGTTGATTATAGTTAAGCTCGTCGTGGTGTGTTATCCCCCTCCCACCCCCACATCCTCCCTTCGTCGAAACGCTCACTTGTCCTTCTCGTTCTCGTTCTCGGAGACCTTCTCCCACTCGTCCTCGGTGCTAACGCTCGACTGCGTACCCCCGTTCGTCGAGTCCTCGGCCCCGGCCTCTGCTGCTGCTGCGGCGGCGGCGGCGGCGGTGCGTCGCTTCAAGTCGGCGGCCTGCTGCTGCTCAGGCGTCTCGACCTGGCTGCTCCCCGCCGCAGCACCCTTCTTTCCAGCCCCTACGCCGCTGGCGACGGCACCCTCGACCTCGGTGTCGCTATCATCGGTCCCCTGGTTGTTGCCGGCGCCGCCGATCCCCGAGGAAGAGGCCTCGGCAAGGCGGGCTTTCTTGGCCTCCTGCTCAGCGTGGATGGCGAGCTCGTTGACGAACCAGTTGATGGCGAACCAGAGGAAACCGCTGAGGAAGGAGAGGATAACAAAGTGGATGCTCCAGGTCGTCAGGAGGAGGACGGCGAGGAGGACTTGGAGAGAGGCAAAGGTTGCGTTCGCGGCGCGGACGAGGGTCGGGGTCGGGCCTGGGACGAAGATTGACTCCCAGAGGTTGGTGATGAAGGACGCCATGGTGGTTTGTGGTGGGTGGTGGTCGGGCGAAGTATTCGGATGGGATACAGTCGCTCGGGTAGAAGATGACGCCTGTCGTTGTACGGTTCGGTCGCTCGTTTGTTCTACTCTCGGTGATGTGATGCGCGAGACCGGCGAAGCAGTGCGTGAAGCGCGCTGAATGTGGATGCGAATGGTTTGCTTTGGGTGGGTTCTGATGGCGGGGGCCAAGCTTCGGAGGGGCGAGCGAACTCCTCTTGGTCGCAGATACGTAAGATCTATGGGGCGCGATGATGCAGTGAGCAGCTGTTACCGTGAATGTTTAGCGTTCTCGCGGCGAATACAATGTTGGACTGTGTTGTTCGTTGCACGTAGTCAGACAGCAGGATACTGGCGGTAAGAGCGCATAATAAATAGCGTTATGGGTTGAGGAGCGTCAAATGGCTGGGGGGGCGGAAAATATGGCGGTGTTGGTGTTGGTATTGGTGGGCAGGAGAGGGGTCCGACTGCTTGAGGTAGGTGGTGCAGGTGAGGAAGGTAATACGGGTGGTACAGTACCGTGGGCAATGACACAACACGCCGGGTCGGGGCGGAGGGGAGGGGAAGGGTTGAGTTAAATGTACCTCTTTTTTTGCCAAACAACACAGCGAACAAGACACGTTATGAATCGGTTCCGAGAGGATGCAACGTGGTCACTCGGTTACTGAGGATAGTAGTTTTTACTTTAGTAGATCGGAACGAGTGGCATGCCGACAGTGAAAAGGTGACCGTGGCCTCGCGATGGTTGAGACCGAGTGACGTGGAAGAAAACGTAGGTCTGTCTGCCTCTTTGGGCGGGCCTGGGGCGGAGGTGCATCAAATACCAAGCGGTCTACTCAGTGTCATACGGAAGCCTGTTAGGCAGGCGGCTTCTTTTTTCTCGGTGAGGTCACGTAACCCCCCAAAGAGAACACGAGAAGGTATTAAAGCATAATAAACGGAACTCTGTGAGAGACGCTGGCGCCATGGACAGCACGCGGTCCCCTTTGGAACGATCCCATACGGGGGACGAAAAGGAGCGGTGGCAGTGGCCGGAATGACCCCTCCATGAGCTGGGGGAAACGTCACCGTCGCGGCCATTTCCGTGGGGTCGTGACCTCTCTCTTACACAATGCTTTAATGAGCCGAAGCGAGGCGACGGGCCTGCTGACCACGGATTCGGTGTCAGCCGTATTGGGGATTGGGGGCATGTTCTATTGCTGTTTCCTTTAGTTTCCCGATTTCAAAGATGCACGGTATTGATGACTGGATAGGCGTGTTCAAGACTTGCGGCCTTCCTTCAGTGAGCATCTTGCGAGCTTAGGGTGTTTAGCATGGCAGACTGCGATCGAGGCGTCGGCTTCAAACTCAGCCAGGAACAGGAAACCCAAGAATGCTTCTGGGAGTCAGTTAATGCAGCACCGGCTGCAAGATAGGAAGGCCGGTTTTGTCAAAGAACTTTGACAAAGACGACCTCCAGATGGTTGTTTGTCCTGTGTGTCAACCGAAGATCGATGGCATGCGGGTCATGCGTAGAAGCTTAAATGCTCATCGTCAGTGCTGTCGAGCCAAGCAAGAGGACTGCTTGGATGTCATGGCGTAGCTGAGGTAAAGCAATGGTGAGCGGGTTCCAGCTGAATCGAGCTCAGTTGATGAGTGGAACAAGACTGATTCAGATATCTGGAAAGCCACAGTTGTTGTGGCAAGGCTGACTGAGTCTAAGAGAGGAACTGGAACACACACCAAGCAGCTGAACCTTCAGGTCGCACTTGGTCGAGATGCCCATGTTCCCTCGACTGCCATCCGGGGGTTGGAAGCCGACGCTTTTAATCTACTTGATTCGCATGGCTGGCCTGTCTGTGTGAAGCACGCGGGCTGGTCTGGCGTCTGTCCCCAGGGTCGTTTTCAAACGGGGAAGGAGCTCATTTGTTTCCAGTCACTGGTGCCGCCGCTCGCCAGAAGCAGGAACCACATTTCCGGGGTACCGCCCCCAATTCCGTAACTCGAGGAGCGGGACTTCCAGATTTGTGGATCTCAACGGAGACACCCCTGCCGCCATGCTATGCCTTGAATTGGTGCCTCCCAGTGAATAGTGACGAAGCACTCCCCAAGACGAGGGGAAGCTTTCGATACGGAGTAGCGTACTGGCTCTTCAAGGAACATCCTGCTCTGTGCTTCGTCTCTTCTTTTTCTCCTCCCGTCCCGTTGCAAAGTCGCAAGTATCTCGCTTCGAGCCGGAGGAGTCGGAGTTTTCCAACCTTCAAGCAACATCAAAAGCTGAGGTAAGCTAGCCCAAGTAGGTACCCTTGATATCCGGGGAACGTGTGACCGGGCCATCCACCTTAGCGCGCGCGCGGAGCACTTCGAAGGCTGGAAAGCTGGTCACCACAGACCAGACACCAGACACCATCCGCACCGATCGACGACTGACGACAGACGACCAACCACAACCACTACCGTCGCTTCCTCCTCACCGAAGAGCCGCAGCGAAAATTCATGACACCCATGTTCGCCTTTCCCGACATGACATGATTGGCCTCGCTCGACCAACACCGTCACTAGCCATTTTCTGATCCCCGTTGACGAAGCGCTTCCCGCCTGCGGTCTCTTGATTGCTGTTTCTTTCAATCGCCTTTCCGACGCGCACTCCGACCCCCCCATCCGCGGATCCGACCTGACGTACGCGCCTGCTCATCTAATCTTCCCGCGATTCCTTCGACCGCCTCCTCTTGACGTCGCCTCATCCACGGTATTAACCTTACAAAAGAACCCCACTACTTCAGGAAAGAGAATCGAACCACATCACTGTCACGGTTGATTCCCTCGACTCATCGTCGCTGCCGTTGCGATCCGAAGCATGCGCCGCGGGCCCTTGTGATCATGGCCCCAGCCCTGCAAACAACAGACACCACGACCCATCACGCCGCCGAGTCGCATCCAAACGAGGTCGTGCCTCCTTATCACAATGGCGCACAAGCCCACTCCTCGTCCGCCGACAACGATGTCAACCCCGATGCCGGAGCAGACCCTTCAACCGTCATGCGCAAGCTCATGAAGGGAAAGGACAAGGAATGGGATGCTGTCGTGTCCGTTCGCTCGGCGAAGAAGAAGCTCACCCTGCTTGAGCTGCCTGTGGACATCTTGAGGCTGATTATTAAAGAGGCAAGTCGGCCGCCAACTCCCGCTTCAATACCGTATCTGGCCTTACTGACCTTTGCGCTTCTCAGATCACCCACACGAATGACCTTACCTCGCTCGCCCTGACTAACTCGAACCTCCACAACCTCGCGATTCCCCACATCTATTCCAGGTTTGACATTGTCTGGCCTGACGCCACACAAATGACGACGTCCGACTCCAAGAGCGTCGATGCCCTCACCTATGGCCTTTCCACCATCTGCCTCGGCAGCTCCTTCGCCCGCCGCACCCGCAAGATGCTCTACCCAGGCTACACACCTAGCTACGGCCCCGCCGTCCGACGACAGAAGAATGACTACGCCAAGTACACGAGAAAGTTTTCGTTGGGAAACGGCCCGCACGACTGGGTGGCGGAATACATGATATCAAAGGAGAGCGGCAAGATGCTGGGCACGCTGGTGGCGCTGGCTATTGAGAAGATGGTCAACCTCGAGACCTTTGTCTGGGATATGCCGACTGGCGTTCTGTCTGACATCTTCATGGCGTTGGCGTCCATTCCAGAGCAGTGCCCGGATGGCGAGTCGAAGCTCGAAAAGGTCTGGGTGAGATGGCACGACAACTCCGAGAGTTCGAGCTCTTCGGCATCCTCGAGCCCCCCTCCGCCAAACCCGCCCCATGCGACAGTGCCCGCCGGCAGCAACCTCACTGCGATCGGTATCCTGATTCCCTCGGACGCTGTCCATCCGACACCGCGGGCTGCGATACCGTATGCGGAAACCCGAGTCGAGTTCCCTACCTTCAGCGTCCTGCCTCCGGTCAAGAGTTTGACTGTTTTGGACATTGACGAGCTCGCTTATCTGGATGAGATGGCAATAGTCATTGAACGATCCAAAGACCGTCTGCAAGAATTGCGCGTGGGCATATCCCCGAAGGCCATTTACAAGGACTTTGTTCAGACATGGGATGGACCCGACTTGCGGCAAATTGACCGGGATGCTAGATGGCCTGGCGAAAGCACCATTGGCGAGAGAAGGCTGGGCGGAGTCTTGGGCGTTCTGGTCGGCCGAATTTATGACATCCGTCGGAAGACAACCTCGAGGTCCAAGGAAAAGGCTCCTGTGTCGTCCTCCTATGGGACACAGCAGACGGACACAGCTCCCGATTCGGACTCCGTAGAGACTTCTACCACACTAGGAGACCCCGAGAATACGGGGACAGACGACCTGCAAGCGGACGTTGCAGTCGAGTCGGGTCAGGCCGCGGACCTTTTGACAGGAACAGGATTTGCCTCGAGCACCAATGAGGATGGCAATGGCAGGCCGATGGAAGACGTGCAATTCGAGAAGGAGCCTGCGACTGGCGACATCAATGCCAGTGAGGCACCGTCCGGTTTGTCACGGAAGAGATTGGACGGCAAGCTCAAGCTACGTACGCTCGAGCTAGAGAGAGTTCCTCTGTCAATTCAGGTTTGCTGCCAGGCGATCGACTGGACAGTCTTGACGACACTGACTATACTTGAATGCGCCCAGCATGAGCATCTCTGGAAGGCTCTGCGGAGGCAATTCGCCCCCACTCCGATAACGAGACTCGGGTCTCATCATCACCAGATCGGCCCTCACAAGCAGGCCATGGAGTATCACCTCAGCCTCAAGAGCATTCACACCGACGTGACTTCGACTTCTCTCATCAGCTTCCTCAGGGACACCTTGGCACCAAACAGCCTGGAAGTCCTGTTCTTGCAGGATCGGAGACGAGCCAGTGGCCCGCCGGCCGTGACTATTGAGCAGATCTTTAAGGGAGTCATCAAGAAGCATCGGTCGAGCTTGCAAAAGGTGCTCCTCGACAGTTCGGATCGGAAGCGCAGTAACAGTAATGCACCGACGGATGCCTCCCGTTGGCGCAACTGGGTGCTGCCGACAGACATGCTGCTTTACATGACGAGCGGGCGCATGGCGAACATCAGGGAACTCGCTGTCTCCCTGTACTACAAAGATTGGGTGAGTATTTCTGACTTTCCCCTCCTATTTTGAGCCCACCTCACGAATCAGCTGTCAAGTGACGGCCGTCATATTGTTCTTTGACTACCTCTGTTGGGAGACGTGCGTCGATGATGACGTTCAGCACTGACTGGTATTACAGCACACATTCCTCCAGAGGCTGCCGAATGTTCCGCAATTACGGTCACTTAACCTGCAACACATCGCCGATCACATACTCGGCAATTTCGACTCAAGAGAGTTGGCCCTGCAGCTGGTGGACATCATAACTCTGCGCCCTGAAATCCAGCTCTGCTACGTGGGCATTTCAACTAAGTGTTTCGAAATCCTGGAGAGCAAGCCGGTGGAGGAGGGCGGTGCTTCAACCACGAGCGTCACGGCCGATCACGGCGTGATGGGACACGACTCCGGGATCGACGGGGAGGACGACGAGGACGATGAGGAGGATGGCACGGACGACGAGACGGCGAGCCAAGTGGACGAGGATACCTCCGAAGAGGAGGCAGAGGACGATGATACCCCGGCGAGTGCGGTAGACGTGGAGGACTCGCAGTCGGAGGCGTCCGTCGGGGCACAGGACTCGGACGACGACGATTCGATGCGTGACGTCGATTGCGGCCATTCGCGGCCACGTCTCCGGCTTCGCGAGATTCTGTTTTATGACGACAAGGTGGCAATCTTCAAGGCTCGGCACGGGAGACTGTAAAGCCGTAAGGGCAAGACGAGGAGAGAGTGCTTCAACGACAGGCAGGTTATTGGTTGGTTACAGGACAAAAAAAAAGAAGAAGCTTGCATAACAGAAGCGTGGCATATGCAGCCGTTACAGTGAACGAGGTTGAATACTGCGACGACGGGTTTTTTCTCCTCTGGGAGCATGTTTCTTGAGAATTTTGGAGAGTTTCTTTTTTCATTTTAGGAAACTAGCTTGTCTCTCTTTATTCTTTCTTTCCTCAATTGATATCCACCTCCTTGTTGTCAAAACCACGAGGAGTATCGTTTGTTCACCAGTCACTTTTGCTGCTCTTGTGTCCCCGCTCATGACCGTATCATCTGATGCTCGGTTCACGGAGCTCGGCCTGCCTTTCGTTTGCTTCTCTGAACGAAGGGGCAACTCGGTCTCCGATCTCGCGACTTATGGGTATACCTGCTGAAGATGTGGTGGTGGGTGGTCTCGCCGCATACCCACGCAACGCCCGCATACTGCGGCCCCCGAAGCTACCTGCAGGACGGACGTACAGGATCCAACGTCGAGAGAAGAACAAGGAGAAGCGGACTGGCTAGGCCGGAAGGGTTAGGTTCCATGATGGAGCCACTGGCACGTTACTTCCTCCCGAACCCCGTCCTCTCCCAATCTTGTTGCCTTGATTGCTCGCCCCTGCCCCGTCCATCCTTGAGGGGGGGGGGGAGGGGTTATCGATTCTCAAGGAGGGAATGGTTGTGAACATCGAAGGGTGAAGGTGGGGGTATGGGATGGGATGGGATGCGGATGCGGATGCGTAGGGCTTGCATGCTTGGCCGTTTCCTTGTCTGCGAGAAGAGCCAAGATGTGCCAGGCAACCTTTTGCTTGCGCGCGCGCGTGTGTGTGTGTGGGTATGTGTATGTGTGTCCATGGTGCTGGAGATGTACACGTACAGGACGGGTCTAGGACAGAAAGATGAAGCCTAGAGACACAGCCCTGCGGTTAAAGTGAGCTGCAAGCGCTGCTGGGGGACGACCATGGTGGCCCCCCACCCTCAACTCCCCTCGCCTCCGCCTCCCGCCATTGGCCCCCGTCTCTTGAGACCTCGAGGAGCTGTGAGGGTCTCAAAGGGGTAGGACCAGATTCAGACGTCTCTGAATGGCCTACTCAAGAAGGAGGTGGGAGGCGTGAGCAGTCCAACGGAACTTAGCCCGGCGGCCACCACACCACTCTGCTCTACCCCCCCTATCTCTTCGCCTTGTATTATACCTCCTCCTTCCACAGGGCTTGTATGGGTACAGCTTGTCGTGGAGTCCTGCAGGCTTGGTCAGCCATGGGAGACGCATCGTGGTGATAACTAGCCCCCGGCGGCTGTCCGGCGAGTCAAGGGGGCCCAGATCCCCATGAGAAGAGAGGAAAGAGGGGGTTAATCATTGCAGGATAGCTCGGCTACCCTTGGGAGATCATGGGCTCATCTCCTCCGTAGGTAAAGTATGCCTGCCTATCCCTTACCCCCCCCGCTGGCGAAATCATGTCCCGTTTCCGACACTTACAGCATATCCCCATCCACTCAGAGTCTTCTCGGCGAGGAGGATCCGATTGCAATCAAAGGCCTGCGGGGCGACATCAAGGTACAGACCAGGCCAGCAACACCCTCAACCAGCCCTATCCGGGAGAGGCGCGAGGCGCGGTTCCTTGGGGGCTCGCTCGCGCTGCGGCAAGGAAGGGGAGGGGAGGCAGCAGGGAAAGACAGGACTGAATGGAAAATTTTCTGACCAGAGACGTGGGAAAGGAATCAAGCGGGAGGATCTCAATCCTTGTCTTCGTTGAAGAGGGGGGGAGAGGGGGGACACCAAGGGCAGGTGGGATAGGACAGAACTGGACGCCGTTAGAAATCATGGTGCTGGGAGCGGCGAACTAGGGATTCCCTCACTTGCTGTCCGGCCCGTCGTCCTATTTGCGATCCCGGGTGGGAGGTCAGAAGGGAGCTGGACCTTGGCAGGTGCTGAGTGGCCAGAACTGGACATGACTACATACGGCCACCGCACGAAGGTGAGGCCATTTCGATATGACCACGGGCGGAGGCTCAAAGTCGACATGAACTCAATGATTGGTAGAGAGTGCGCTTACTTTACGCTCGGGTTGGCGATGTGCAATGCCGACTTTGATGTCAGCAAGCCAATATTGGACGGGAGGAAGACAGATACAGCAACAAGGATTACGTTGGCGCTGGCAAAGCTGCTGCTTGATAATCCCAGTGAAAGATATGGCAACTCGGCACCGAGTTCTGAACCGAGTTGCAAAGGGCATCGAAAGTAGCACCGAGAAAAGCAGTGGGCAAAGGCCTGTTGAATCTGGTTCTCGAGGATGGATAACCCGGCCTGACAATCTGACATGCACTGTCGAGGTCTCGAGAGGCGGCATTACCGTGGTCCGCTGGCATCGAAGAGTTCGTTTATCGTGGGCCCTTCGCCATGGCATGCCGTCACTTGTCAACAGAAGCGCAGATGATGGGCTCAGTCGACGGGGAGGGAGGACTAGTTTGACCTGATTACAATCACTTGCGGTCAGAGCACCGTTTGCCCCCATGTCAGGATCCCAACAGTTTCCTATTCTCTACGGCAGCAAAGCCTGCCCCTACAGGTCTGATTTAACCCCAGTCACCACTTTCCCCTCTCGTCCCCGCCGAGAGATGTAGACAGGCAGACCGTATGACCGGACTTGGGTCCGTCCAGCAAGAGCTTCCGTGGGGGACGACAACGTGGCTGTGGCCCTCCCCCATCGACTAGAAGGGCAGCGTTCTATGCAGCTTCAGTGTGTCCATCCGCATCGAGGGGCCCAGCGCCCCGTTCAAATCCTTCCCATGGCCGAACCCCCTCCTCCTTCGTGCAAAATCATAGGACTCGCTCCGTCCATCGACCGACATCTCGGCCGGCCGCCGACGGATAAACCAGATACCAGGGGCCAGGGACGTGAAACCACATTGTGCCATCGAGATCACGTCCGTCCAAAATAGAAACAAAAGAATCTTGGAGCCTAGAATCTGTCATTGCCCCTCAATGTCCGGACGGCGCGCAATGGTTGGTCTGTGAGGCCCGTAGGATCGGCCTCCCTGTGTGGCCACGCCCCGTCACCGCCGGTGCCCCAGCCACAGCTTGGAGGAGCGCCCGCATGCCGCTCAAGCCACGTACGTCCGCGAACCGCAGAGACGAACAGCATCGGCGTTGGCTAGGTCGGACTGGGCTGAGGTGAGAACGAGGTCGTGATGCCCACGAGGCTGACAGGTTTCGTAGCACCCGCCAATGACATCCCGACAAACGCGCTCGCGTTCATCGTTCATGCCTTGTCCTGTCTCGTCTGATGCTTCGACTCGACCTATCCGGCACCTGCTTACCGTCGATGACGAGTATACGCCGCAGTGCATCAGACTGCCGATACCAGAGCTTCGAGAGGTTGGATCTTCGCCGCTAGCCTCTCAGACGTCGCTCTGGAGTTGAGACATGCCAGTCATCAACCGGCGTCAGCCACATTGCAAGAGCCCATTGGCCTCACAAGCCGTGCGCCCCCTTACCAATTCCACGCACACAGGCATTTGTAAGTCATCTCCACGGTACGGAAGGCCACATGGAAGCCAACAGCCCCGAGTGGCATCGGGCGTCTGAGCCGGATCGGCCACGACTACAGGGCTGATGTCGAAAAGTCCGACCGCGAAGCCGAACACCTATGGTTTCTGGCGAGATGGTGCAGGCTGATGAAACTGGCGGTGCACACGAGCTGCATCCGGTTGTCCCGACCATCGCAACGTTGATACTGCTCCTTTTCTCCCATTTCCTGCTCAAAGACATACTTTCAAAGTAGTCGAGTCTGCGCTTTGCCTAGAAAAAGAGGGAGAATGGTCCAGAACGACAGGCCACTGGCGCCTTGTTCTGGCATTACAGACGTTAAAGTTCTTGTTTCTTCCAGATCGATTCTACGGTGGTTGGAGTGGGCGGGTAAACAGCGGGAGATGGATCGCGGAGCGGGCCAGGTGCTCCCACCAGAGGAGTTCTCCCGCGTAACTGCGGCACGGGCGTGGACGGAAAAGAACTGCTGCAAGGACGACGGATTACATGCGCCATTTCAACGGTCCTCGGCGCCCTGTTGGCCCAATTTCTCTCTCTCTCCATGCACCAAGACGGGGGGGGGGGGGCGTGGTGTCTCTGGCAGCTCGTGGCCGTGGTCGCTCAGGGCGCTTGGGGCAAGACGTTGAATCCTCCCGATGAGCCAAATCATCCATGTCCACAACGAACCTGAACTGAAGGCGGCCGCGGGATGGATCGCACCGTTGCATTCCTCGGCCATAGGCACCCGACGATGGAAGGACCGTAGTTTATTGTGATTTTGTGTGGGGTTGGCTGGAGGGCGCGATTGGCACGTTCGGTTTCTTCCACGAATTCCCCACAACGAACCGCAAACAGAACCGAACCGGCTGGTGAGAAATTCGTATGACAGTAAGCCGCGAAGTCTCCATAACCTAGAGCGGGGGGAGGGGGGGAAGAGAGGGGCCAAAGATCGCCGGTAGGTGAGTCTTTGTCTGTCCGTGGGCGGCGCAGCCGCAGTGTTCAATACCGTAGGGCAACCGGATGTAACAGTGCTTGGCCACGTCGAGCGTGCAGGTGACGACCCTAGCTCGAGACATCAATTTGGGCCGACTACTTCAGCTCACCCGTTTACAGGGGCTCTGCAAGACGAGACTGCTCCCTCTATAGGTGGACAGGCGGTCATCACACTGTTTTGGAACCTGCTGCTGCATGTCAGACTTTGGGGCATTCCAGGACGCACTCGGAGAGCGGTTGGTCCCTCGTAGGGCTGGGAGGAACATCAGGGGTGGCAGCGGAAGGATTCTAGGTGTGTTGCCTGGTCAAAGGTGGGCGAGCGAGTACGGATACAATCGGGTGGGTTCGCCTGCATAGGCGTAGGTGTAGGAAGCAGCTGGGTCGAGGGCGTACAGCCAAGCGTCAAAGGCTCGCCTGGTTCGGCCACTGCG